ACATCACACTGCCACACCCAATATTTTATAGGTACACATCACAGAAGACAAATGACCAGCTCTTGCCATTTCTTGCTGACAGCCAAACTATGCACCAGATTGCTTCGCACATACATCACTCAGAGTTTCATGTTTAAAAAAATAGTTTAGGTACTTTGTACTGTTACGTTCACTGACCACCTTTCTGTAATCTCCATAATATCAGGACACACAGTGGTAAAATAAAATTGTAAACGTTTATATAAATGCTCATTTGGCTTATGAGTACAAGACACAGAGAAGGCGATAAAATCAAATTAAAAAAAGGCACTGGGAAAGCAACACTTCCTAAAAATGTTTAGAAGATTTATAATATAACTAAACAAAAAAAAGTATTATTTTTTTTATTGCTAGTGGGGTGGGACTAAGTCCCTTGTACTGCGGCCACTTCTGACCTATTGTACTAGCCCCAGATGATAGATGAGGACGATTGTGGAGCAATTGGTGGAATGATGATTGGCAGGGGAAACTGAAGTACTTGGAGAAAACCTGCCCCAGCACCCCTTTGTCCACCACAAATTCCACTTGACCAGACCCGGGATCGAACCCGGGACGCCACGGTGGAAAGCCAGTGACTAACTGCTTCAGCTATGGTGCAGCCTAAACAAAACGGTAAGTTCACTGCATTTCGAGATATGAGGATTTGCCATAGCAACTTTACCTACAAATGGCCAGCTAATATCTACTAAACATTTTACAATAACATTTTGAATAGCCAGTTAACATCTAGTGGATATTATAAATTACATTTCTTCCTCCGAATTCACCAGAGTCATTGCAACATTTTGTTATGTTAAAAAAGAATTTCTAAACTGAATTCAAATAGTAGATAATTTCATTTAATACATTTACTGTTCAATTAGTATTCAGTCTTTCTCACTCTGAAGCATATTCTTTTGGACACTTTGGCTTATCATGCTGTTTCCACGAGCAGGATCCTTCTTGGGAAACTGAAAGTCACTCAGCTGGCCAAAAAAATGGATCCGAAAGGTTAAACTATCATGTTCACAGCAGTCCACCTCTGAACCCTATCCTGAGCCAGTACAATCCAGTCCCCACTCCCACACTTATCTTTCTTGAATATATACAGAATAGACCAAAAATCAGTTAACTGCTTCGTAAAACGTAAGCTGAATTAAATTATGCATTTCTTTATTACTAAAGGAATTTATAAAAACTGTTCAAAATGAGATCCTCCATGTTCAATGCATAACTCACAATGCTGTGATACCATTATACATTTTGAGCATCAGGCTTAAATTTGAGAATTCCCATCAATATAACAGAATGTTTTAGGTTAACTGACTCTTGGGCCACTCTGTACTTTGACATTATTTACCCGTCTTGCCAGGGTGAAGGATACATGACTCTATACATCCACCCCCCCCCATGTCTTCATGGTATGGTACTTAATAAGTTAAGCACACGGACTACTTTCCATTTTCCCTATTCTAGTTAACCACAGTGGTCTCTTTCCTCCAGGTTATCCGACTGAAATTTTGTATGCATCTCATCTCCCCCCATGTATGTTAAATGTCCCATCCACCTCTTCCTCCTTGATTCAGTCTCACTAATAATATTTGGTAAAGAATGCAAATTATAAAGCCCCCCTTATATCATTTTACCACATATCACTTACCTTTCATTAATCCTCCATCATATATCTGTAATGGAAAATCTACAATTCCATGAAGATCCAGTTTGAATTCGATCTGGAGTCGGAACAAAAGATGATGATAATGTCCCACTCCTGCTGCCAGATGGCCCTGCATATATGCAACTTCCAGAGGGCTCCATATGTTGTTCTGAAACAAAAAATAGATTCAAACATAAGAGATGCTATTAGATATAGTAATGACATACTGTACAAAACTGACAAAAAACAATAAAAAGAAAATAACCTGCCATAAATCCCTCCATAACAGAAATCTTCCAAATAATAAAGAAGATTCTGGATGCCAGAAAGTTAAAATACATCCTTCAACATATATAAATGGTCTATAGAAAAGAATGCTGGGATTTCAAACACCTGCAACTCAAGCATGAAAACAGATATGTCAATGTCGGTACTTGCAGTGTAAACATGAACTCAAATGGTTTCATAGATACAAGCTGCATGTGAATCCCAAATGTACATATTGGGAAGCAGCTTTGTTTATGTGTTAATTCATCCTAGACATACTGGAAACTTATGCCCTTCTGTACCTCGTCATCGTCAATGACGATCTTATTCTGCAACTGGCCTGTGCACCTGATCACTTTGCTCACATTGTCCATGAATGTTTAAATGTGAATTTTCCATAAAGCGTAGTCATTAGTTCTTTAATTGTGGGCTGTTATGAAGGATCTGACGAGATGTCATCTGTCTTTTGTTTTCCAAAGTCAAAGTTACTCTACAACTGGCAGTTTATCATCAATCAGTTCATCTTTTTTTTTTTTAATTCGCTTAGTGGGGGGTGGAGTCCAACAGGGTCCACTTGACATGGCAGTCACTGATTGGCCTACTGTAGCCTGCCCCGCGTGATTAGGATGATGGAGAATTTGGTGGAATGAAGATTGGCAGGGGAAACCGAAATACTGGGAGAAGACCGGCCCCAGCGCCACTTTGTCCACCACAAATCCCACTTGACCAAACCCAGGATCGAACCCGGGCCACCATGGTGGGAAGCCAGTGACTAACCACTCAAGCTATGGCACAGCCTATCAGTTCATCTTGGTGACAAGCCCCTTAAGACTCACGACCAGAGATTTTTTTTAATTCATCTGAACCCTTGCAGTCATAGTCCTTACATAACATCCTCTCTGATGAGAAGATGGGGTTATCTCTAATGAACGTGCTTGGCCTTTCATCAAGAGTATATTTCATAGTTCTTCCTTTTGCGCTATATACAATTCCTCTGTCAGTATATGATTTGCAAAGCAGATAATGCTTATCTTATGTATCTTATGTTACGAGGGCAGCTTAGCAACTTGAACAGTCATAAGCTTGACCACCAGCAAGTGTAAGCCTCTTACATTTTCTATGTCTGGCTTCATCTTGTCCTATACCATGAACTTCTTCATCCTCAAGATTTTGTATGACTTCTGCTTGTTGCTAGCATAATTTTGTTACTTGCTTTGTAAGTGCTGCAATTCTAAGAGGTAGGTGCCATACACTAATTCCCAGGTGGGACAAACATAAGTCATCACTGATCGGATCAATGCCTTATGGATGGTTAATTGAATGCTGGCACTTAATGCTAACTTCTGAATAGGGAGTTGGTCTATCCATCTATCGGTCTATCTGTCTACCTACCTACCCATCCACCCACCTACCTACCTATCCATCCATCCCTGTTGCTCCAACTTTGAGCATAGGGCAACCATGAAACGCTTCATTTCACTTCAGTTTCTTAATCTTAAAGAGTTGGTAGGACTTCTTGGATAGGGGATCAGCCCAACGGAAGGCTGCTACCTACACAAACACAGAATAAACGCAGACAAACATCCATGCCTTCAGTGGGATTCGAACCCAAAATTCCAGTGTTAAAGCGAGCGATGACATTCCATGCCTTAGCCCACATGGCCACTGTGATGGGATAAACAGGGCGTAGATTCTAATAAATGTACTGAAGCCCTTGGTTTCAATCATTTCTATGTGCAGTATCCATCTAATCTTCTTATTGAAGAATACACCCAAATATTTTGCACGACTGAGAAAAGGGATATTCCATCCATTCAATGTAAGATGAGTCTCAGGGTGCCTAAATCTATTGTTTTCTCAGGTCTCACCAGTACTTATATAACTTTGAGGCAGACCGAATAAAAGATAGCAAATCCAACAGTTCATCTGCTGGTGTGTGAATATGTGTTGTAATGGAGACATGTTTTGCCAAGCTGTTGCCTAGCAATGGACGTTTCCACAGCACTCCTATGACACCAGTATTCCAGCTTTTAGGCACCATGTCACATTTCTCCCTCCTTACAGCTGCTCATCCTGAGAAGCCTATAGGTGTATTGCCATTTCCTCCATTCTGTGGAGGCCTCCCTGTTATGTCTGTGACAGCCCTTGTGAAGGTACTGCAATACCACATTGGCCTGCAACACCTCTTCTACTTTCAACAACATCCAGCATTCATCCCTTTTGAATCAGTTTTGTGCTGCTGTTGTCCGGCTGTTCCCTCCTTAGGGCTGTCTGTTCAGCCTGCCATGGCTCCGTAGGGGGCACGCCTTCATTAGCATGCTTCGGCAGCCAGTGGTCTCCAGCCATTTTAACAGGCACCTCCCTTCAGGGTTGAACCAGTGCCCTTGCCCTGTGTACTCCAGCTCAGTGGGCATTTCTGGAACACAATTCCAGTAGGCTATCCACTACATCCAGGTGGCCTTCCAGCTGCATAATTGTTCCACATAGTCACTACCACCTCACGGACACTCTGCATACAAAGCAACCAGTCCTACTGCTCTTGGTTCCTGGAAACCATGGTTCCTCATGCTCTCTAATCCGATCCATGGAGACTGCTGAATTCCCACTGCCTCTATGCCATGCTCATACTGCGACTTCCATCAGTTTTGTCTCAAGTCCATCCTACATGGCTTCTACCAGTACTTTTGCTGCTTGCATGCTGCTCAGCCAGTTCTTCATGAAAGTCTCTTTTTGTCCCTTACATCTCTTTACTGAGTTTCCTATGGAAACTCTGAGTCCATTGGTCACCAGATGCCAGGACACCCTCCACCCACTTGTTGATGGTCTCTTCGAACTCAGTGTAACAATGTCTCCATCTTTCCTTGGCCAGTCCTCATTGTAGCCTTCATTTCATCTTGGCCAGTCTTAATTCTGGCTGGTTTTCATTTATTCCTCACTGATTTTTGCTTCATTCTGGTTGGCCTTTATCATGGCCTCAATAATTTCTTAGACAGTGTTTATGGCAGTGTCCATCTTGCTGCTATTAATCATTTGGAATCCTTACTAGACTATCTTGAGAGTGAAGGGAACAGTTTATTAAGTGACAAGCTAATATTACATAGGCTTCGTACGGATATCCAGAAAAAAGGAAAATGCCGCTAAAAAGCAAACGACAATATTAAATTTTTTTAAGTGTTAAGTGTGAATATTCGTAAAAAGTGTTGGATGTCGTTAAACACTGTGATTGAAATAACTAATTCACACTTCAGTATAATGTAAAAAAAAGGTATTAAATAGGCCATGAGATGACATAAAAATCAGGTTGAATAAATTTAAATACAGGTAGGCCTATAGTATTATGAAAGTACAGTATTACAGTACTACTTTTAATAAAATTTGTCTTAGCCGGGTTTTCGATTAATCGTGATTTCCATCCCCACCATCATCCCGGATAATTGAGAGCTGAGTGTATGTGGAGACAGTGCAACACAATACAGGAAATCAGAAAAGTGCAGTATCTCATTCTTCCCCCCACAAATAGGAGACACGCCACTCCAGTAATCAGGTGACAATATGACTCACTGGCCCATCCAGATTTGCAATTCATAAGTCCACCAATTTACTGTGCAGGCCAAGAAATGTTAAATGATTCCATTCATGTACAGAGGTTATCAAACACAACACCTTACAATCCAATAATGTGTTCAAATGAGGTGTTATACATTTTCACTGCCTGAAACCTATCACACATAACCTTGAAGTTTCACAGCTATAATTCTGGTTAACTATTTCAGCATGAAACAGGGTGTCATGGGAAATTTCATGGCATTTCTACCCTCAAGACAAAGGAATATGTTCTCCCAAATTACTGGTAACCAGCCGCAAGAATACATGATATTCACAACTGAGAGAATCATAATCTAAACACCATATCATATTGTTATGTGTTAGTGACAGGACACAAGAGCTTGGATGGATAACTGGATTTGCTGAACCCTTATAACTTCTAATGAAAAATAACTACGAGTACAACAGTTTCACTGATATACACACTCTACAAATTACTACTGCAAACAGTCTGCTATGCCTTCATTAGTCATTGCTTGGTAGTGGCGTCTAATGATGTAAATCAAGACCATGGCCGAATAACAGACGACTTCCGACTCATGACTTCCAGTCTGTAACTAACTAACATTTCTTGTTCATCCTTGCTCTACAGCCTCAACAAAGAAAACACTGCTTCCAAGAATCACTCCACTGTTGAGAGATGTGTTAAGTGGGCTGCTGCCTAGCAATGGCCTGGGTACTGCTAGTGTGAGAGTGTTTTGGTTGCTGCTGAAATATGTCTACAGGATGTTGCTTAGTAATGGATGGCTTTTCTTGATCTGCTATTCCAGCTGTCAGCTGTGATGTCACAATATTAATTTCGTATCACCTACTACACTTAGGACAGCAAGATGTCCTCTTTTCTCTAGCTATGTTCTCTTTTTAAAGGTAGATTTCAATATCCAGACTTCTTCCTGTTAAATTGATGAAGTGTCCACTGTTCCTAAATTTCATGTTGAGGCACTATGCTACAAGCCAGAAAGTCACAGGTTTGATTCCTGATGAGATCATTGGATTCTTCAATTGACCTAATCCTTCCAGCTGCACTATGGCCCTGAGGTCCACTCAGCCTCTAATAGATATGAGTACCAGGAATCATCTTGGGGGTAAAGGGCAACCAATGTGTATGGCTGATAATCTCACTGTCATCTGTGAGCTGACTGTTGAAAATGTGGGAGCCTCGATGTCTCACAACCCTACGGGGCCCATTACAGGGATAGCTTTACCTTGCACACTTAAAACATTCAATGTTATTTTCTCACTTCAGAACAACTGTATGTTTATGAACATTTACTTTTGGAGTGTCGGTAAGTAATGTAAGAACTGAAGTCAGCCATTTGTTTTTGAAATCATTAAGTCATAAGCAGTACATTTAAAATACCGTCACATGGCTACATGCCTGTACCTGCAACAATGCTAGAACTGTGAATGTAATGTTATAATTATCCCCACTAATTTATTTTTGGATTCACACATATCTGTTAGCATTCTGTAAGAATATGATCTGTCAGCAGTTACACTTCGTAGTAGACAGAATGAAGCCAAATAATTGCTGTGTTTATGAATTCATATTGCAAGTTTTTATCTTGTAAATATAAGTGTGATTTTGTAATTTTCAACAAACTTGTGTTCATATTTTTGTAATGCACAAGGACAGGTGCACATTTATGTTTTTTTTACTCATAATATACCAAAAGAGAAAGTTTAAATTTAATAATGAACTTCAAACAAAATCTCTTTGTCTCAAAGCTGGGAGAAACAAAAATGAAACAGAATTCTTTACATGCAAACTTTAGTATCTGTAGCAGACAGAAGCGGTTATGACTAAGAAGCACATATCAGCACTGCCAAGCATTAGAAACAAATCGACAGTTGCACAATAACCCAAAGGTCAGTGAACTTTCTATTAAACAGAATTCAAAACAAAAGATCTGAGGAAGCAGTGTCATTCCATGCGGTAAAATATGACTTATCTACATCCATGAACTGCACCTCCAAATTACATCAACTTATACATTCTGATTCAGAAATATCTAAAAACATAACTTGTGCAAGAACAAAACCCAAAGCTACTGTAAATATTGTGCTTGTTCCACATTTGGTAGCTATGGCAAGTCATGATTTAAATTAAATATCCTTCTTAGATGTTTCTACAGATGACAGCAATCATGACTCACTATGACTATTTCCTGTTGTGATGCAATATTTGCATAAAGTTCATGATATTAATTCAAAACTGACAGACCTGAATAGCCCACCAAACAAAAAATAGGAAACAAAAGCAAACTGTGTTACACAAACACTGAAAACCCATGGCCTCCTTACAAACCATGTTGCATTATCTAGGGACAACATGAACACTAATTTTGGAGGAATCAATCCCTCTGGAAACAAAAATTTTCCATGCTTTCAAATATGAATCAGAGAAATAATTAGCTGCTGCTGGTTTTCCAGCACACATCCTCCACAAGTGTATACAGCAATGAGAAGGTACAATGTCTGTGGATCTATCGCAATCAAGATTTACAATTATTTTTATATATACAGTAAGGACAGAAGATCTCAAGTGAAACTGCAAATTCACTGATATAAATTATATACAGTTACTGTCACAGCAGAACAAGATGACCATCACTCTTCAATACCATAGAATACTGCAGATGTTACCTGCCATGAAATAATTTTCTTTCTCATCTAATCAACCAATAATTTAGAAGAAGTATTTTGAAAATGAGTTATCAGAAGCATACCTTTGGCACTTACATTCCATGATGTTAATGTCCCATATAAACATTCAGGAAATTGGAAGTGAAAGAAATTTGATATGCTGCACTGTTTCCTCAAGTCTCTACCTGTCCCTTTGTTTCACTATTGCACATAAGCTGTCCTTTATTTTGCCCTCTTACTAAACCAGTGACTTTGCCCATATCATAACTAAGTCTTAACATAACAAAATCTAACAAAGCAAATGCAGATTTTACAACAATATAAAAAAAGTGAAACCCTATTCATACAGCCATGAATTTCCCACATTTCCCACTCATTTATTTTCTGACTACCCGATATTTATACTTCCAATGACATTTCTACTTAATTGCAACAGCAAGTACACCTTACTGAGGTCACTGTAATGAAACATCACACATAACCTGATAAATTAACACACATGAATAGTGCACTAAGCTACAACAAAAATATTTCAACTTTTTCAAACCTTCCTGAGCCTCTTGGCTGTTGTGACAACATCGTAGTAACCCTTCCTCCATAAGAGTTCTTCTCCCTTCCGCCCATAGCCTACAGGATCTGAGAAAATCAAGCGCTCACAGTACTCTCTCAGCTTCACCCGTTGGGTCTCCACACTAGGTGAGAACAAGTCACTGCATGTTTGGGCTCTTCCACGACAGTCATCCAGATGTCTAGAGACATCCGAAATTGCTCTGTAAGTGTAAAATAATTAATATTATACTAACTTTAATGCAGGATCTTCCTTGATCAGCATATTAACGAATGTTCTTTACCATGGTCACAAAAATCCCCTGCTAATATAATACACAAAATTAAAATATGTGATGAAAGAACAGTACTGAAGATGGATCAAAATTCCTCATGTCTTTGATGAATTAACAACATTTACTGTATGACTCCTTGTTCACCTGTACAGACGTCTTGATACTTCGACGCTTTCGTTTCTTACGTCCGAAATCGGATTGTAGGATTTCTTCATTATGTCAACTCATCTTTACCCTTAATATTTGTAGCAGATTTTGTTCATTTCCCACGTAAGTTCGGTACCAAGATATACTTCTCATCATACCATGTAACTACGACCAGCCCAACATACCTAGCAACAATGACGGCAAAGCTCGGCAAAGTTTACTAAGGTACGAGGGGTAAGAGCACATCACAAACTTATCACGGAATAATAACTATAGACGGGTAACTCATGCTAATCGTGGACAATAGCTGGAAAGATTCGGATTAGTTTAGATTACCGTAGTGACATCTAAACGCGAAGATCCTGGAGTTACTTGAATGTAGTACACAAAAGTAATTATTATTATTCTCGAAGATATCGTATACTCGCTAGGCTCGCCAGTCTGGACCGTCTAGACCGTCTAGAGCGGGAATTGCTATCAAGAAAACTGGAACTCGTAAGTTAAGGACGTGAATGTAAAAGCTGGTCAACTTTGATGATTAAGATTCGTTAACGGGAAACAACTAGTGACATGATGTAGCCACAGCTGAGAGCGGTAACCAAGCAACGAAGAGCAGGAGTACATTGAGAAGACATAGAGTGATGTTAGAATACAATAATTAATTCTTGTTTTCTGCTGAATTTTACTTGATTTTCTACTTAAAAGTGACAAGTAATTAAAGTGCATGTTTTGGGCAAAAATACAGCGGTTGGGAGTCCACGTGCTTCTGACCGTGGACTCCCCCAAAATAGAACGAATGGCCAAGAAATGGAGGTAGATGCAATTGAAGAGATATACGTGTATGACGAAGCTGGGGAAGAAGTGGTGGTGGAAGACATGGGCCATGCAAAGTTAAAGAATAAGATTGTTAAACTACAGAAGAGGGTTGCGGGAAAAACAGGACCTGAATTGTCATCAGAAGATGAACTGATGACACAATTTAGCACGGTGAGAAGCCGTAAAAAACCGAAGAAATTGATTGGTAACCGATGATTTAAAGCAAAGTCCTGACAGACACCAAAATTTAAATGAGTCACGGAATCATAACGAAGTCAAAGAGAGGACGGAAGAAAGAACAATTCAACAGGTAAAATCTGAAGCACAAAATCTGGGAAATTAAGATACAAATAATGAAAAGGAAGGCCTGGGAAAAAGTTTAAAGAGCAACAGAAATGGAAAATTCAGTGACCTACGTTTTAATATGTACGAGAAAGGGCCGCTGAGCACCCACCTAAAAGTCAAACCATTCGTAGGGTTCGCATCGATAGACATAAAAAATGGTCGTAGCATGAATTTCAGGATATCTGAGATAGAGTCCACACTCACGGCGAAAGCACTAGCAATTGCCGAAACACTAGAAATCATTGAAAAAATAGACTTGGAGCAAAACTTTATGAGGTTAGTAACGCCTCTACAATGAGCAACATATCTCACATTACACAGATGCTTAAAGATAAAATAGAGAGACAGGAATCGCGAGAAAAGAAAATGCAATTTTACTGTATTCCGGGGCACTGCAGGGTTGAAGCTAATGAGAGGGCCGAATTTGAGGCAAAGCAAAAAATCAAAGAAGGCAGAGATAGTCAATTACTATTACTAGTGGCAGATCTTAAAACCCCGTGGAAAAAGAAAGGCAAAGTACAACTTCACAGTTTTTGCCAAAACATCAAACGGGACAGAGGAGAAAACTACGTTGAAAGGTACTACAGGAATGGCTCGTCCCTGTGATTTCGCGAGATAAAAATGAACTGCCGTGCCTTCGTGTCAATAACCGGTATGAGAGCAGGCCACAGCAGTCTTACAGCAAACCTAAACATATTTAACATTGTGTCCACGGCCCAGTGTGAATGTGGTGATGGACTGCGATCGGAGGAACATATCTTCTTGGATTGTAAACGGTACGAGGGCCAAAGGGCAACAATGATGGACATTCTGTCTGAGAACAGCAAAAAAAGAATATCTAAAGTCAGTTACAGAGCTCTTAAAGCTAGAAGAAAAAAGATGTCTGCAAAGCGTTTGTTACTTCATAAACAACATTCCTATAAGTAAAGATTATATTAAGAATCGCGGGGAGACCGCTGTAATAGAATAGGATGTTTATAGGATGTTACAGAAGGCCGGATGGGCATTGCCTAGGCCTTTTTTGTATTTACAATAATTTCCCTCCCTCCCACAATAAAAAACATCTAGACCGGCACCAAAGGCTGTGGAAGGCATGTATGAGTAAACAGTTTTATCGATTGAGCTCTCGGCACTGGCCATAGCCAAGTAGCGGGAAGAAACTGAACGAGAGTAATAGATGCCAGAGTAATGCCGTTTAAGTGTCATGGCGGCTGTGTAGCTAGGCAATAATATTGAGGTGCACATCCCCCTGATATTTATCAATGGCGGCATGTACCGTACATTGTGATTGCAAAGTGTAAAGTTGCCACTTGACGTTTAAGTATAAGGAAGCAGGTTGCAATCGGTTTAATTTGTAATATTTTTAATTCTGTGAAGAAAACTGTAACTCTGAGTAATGAGTCGTAGAAGACCTCACGAAGAAGAGGATGGCTATGGTAAACATGAATTACATTAGTTTATTAAGAGCTAGAAAACGTTCTACGTTCCTTTTAGTAATACCATTCACTTTTATTAATTAGTGGTTTTTGCAGTCGTTATTGTTGAAGTTACTTTCGAAAGTTTTGATAAACTATATGTGCATGTGTGCATGAATTCACTCGTGCTTCCACTTAGGGGTTAGACAAAATAATGGGAACACTGTAGATAGTGTACACATTTCTTTGTTAATATGGTGTTGGACAAGCGTTTGCCTTCAGTACAGCAGCAATCGTTGGAATGCCCTCTTACAAGTTTTGAACAATCTAGCTGAATTTTATACCATTCTTGAAGAACACATTCAAGTTGCTTTAGAGATGTTGGAGGTGGGAATCTGTTGCTCACTGTAGTCTCCAAAGCTGACCAGAGTTTTTCAGTGGTGTTCAGATCTGGGGATTGTGCTGGCCAGGGAAGATGTAGAAGTTCACCTTCATGTTCTTCAAACCATGACTGAACAGTTCCAGCTATGTGAATGGGAGCATTGTCATTTTTGAAAACTGCATTGTTGTTTGAAAATAACGCATGGATCATGGGATGCACCAGATTACCCAACAAGTCCTTGTACTCCCTTGCAGTAATTTGGCCATGAAGGGTAATAATGGGACCAACAGAATACCATCATTTATGCATCTGAGCATTACTTTCAGTAATGAGAGGTTTAGCAACTGCAACCCTACCATGGATGTTGGATTTGTGAAGCTCACATTGGACAGTTTTTATGGAAACAGGGTCTTCAAGATGAATATTCAGTTCTACTGTTACCTGTGCTGCAATAGTTCTGTAGTTTTTCAATACAATCCTCATTGTATGACATTCTCTCTCTGTCAGTGTTGATTTTTGGCCACTGTTCCTCTTCACTGATGTTACCTTCCCATGATTCGTATATGCCAACATAACCTTAGAAACTCTCACTTTTGATACACCTAATAATATGGCAGTTTTTGCCACAGATGCTCCAACTAAATGCCCACCAACAATCTGTCCTCTTTCAAAGTTGGACAATGCTCCAATTTTTTATTCTTTCACACAGACTGTCTTCAGTACAGTCACTAACGCACTGACTTGAACACTATAGAGTGTAAACAGATGGAAGAAGAACATTTGGTGTTGCCAACTGAAGTTGTTTCAATGTAGCCAGCACACACAAATTCTATTCCTCAGTTTCTTAGTGTTTACATTATTTTGTCTAGCCTCTATATATGGTGCAGTAATGAGCGTAATGGAGACAACCAAAGCTAAAATTTATTTTAATGCGTATAGTTGTAGTTTATTTAATGACGCTATGTAAGTCAAACTGTAGGATAATTAGTAGTAAGGAAGGACTGTATAGGTCAAATTGTAGGATTATTAGTCAGTAATGAAGGGAATGAAGATGAAAATGGTCATGGCTTAATTTTAAGTATTATTGAAGCATACACGTGGCTGAACTAAGGACAAGCACAAAAAACCTCAATCAGGATACTGAGTGTCCTTGCTGATATTTGAAGTGGAAACTGCTCAATGACAAGTAAGAAGTATTCCCCCTTGATCAAACTAGAGAATGTTATGGCAGATCTTAGTAATTGAGAAGGATTTCAATCATCTGAATGCAAGATTTGTGAAAATATACAGTCATACCTAACACCTTGCCATAGATGAAGCACTCATAAAATTCAAAGGCATGGCAGCTTTCTACCAGTTTATTATTTGAAAGAACAGGAAATAATGTTGCCTAATGTTAAATTATGTGACTCACTGTCATACATTCATAACATGAAGAGAGAGGAGGATAAAGTTCATGTGGTAGGATAGTTGGTTGAGGCACTGTGCTACAAGCTGGAAGGTCATGGGTTCGATACCCAATGAGGTTATTGGATTTTTTTCAGTTGGCTTAATCCTTCCAGCTGTACTGTGGCCCTGGGTCTGACTCAGCCTCTAATAGAAATGAGTACCAGGAATCTTCCTGGGGATAAAGGGCGGCTGCTGCGTAAGGCTGGCAACCTCATCACCATCTGTGAGCTAACTCTCTAGAAAATGTGGTTACCTCAATGTCTCTCAGGCCTATGGGCCTCCACAGCTTGTTACAGGGATAACTTTTTTTTAACCCCCTGGGAGGTGAGGTGTCATTAGTCTGTCAGAGGAACCAAGAGACATGTCATGTGTAGCCTTAGGAAAAACAGATCAAACAGCTCATACTTTTTGCCAGAGACATGTCATCACACTTCATGCAGCTCAATGTCTTGAGGACTGTCACATGAGAACAGGTATTTAGAAAAGTGTGGAACACGAATGATGAACCACTGTGAACATGTTAGATTTGAGGTTCTTACAGCAGCAGTGACTATGAAGAGTTCTGGCTGTTGGGATGTAATGCCTAGTCTGGCAGAAATTCGTTGACATTTCAGAGGAATATAATGCCTCAAACTTTAGCGTTGACAAGAAGCCAAGCAAGTTATCAGCAAGAAGCAGGCAGGTTCCTGGCTCAGTGTTTTTATTATTGTGTGAGACAACAGGAGATCTGTAAATTCTGTGAAATTTTGTGCAGCCCTTCTGCATACCCTGCCTTTTATTTTCTTCACATGTGACTTTTTTCGTTTGTTTTCTGGGACTGTCCTTACCAAAACAATCAGTTTTGCTGTTTTAACCCCCCAAAAAATCTATTTATGTGGTACTTGTTATTATGGGTGCTATTCAGAAAGTAACCTCTGTTTATTTTAGGCAACTAATGTAGGGGTGGAGGAGAGCTGACACATGCGAGGTAGAGTCACATGACTCATTGCCTTCTAAACCATCACATACTATGTCACTTAGTGTTTGTTCTTGTCTCTACAGAGTGAATTATGATGTGCCCTTTGATTGATAATCCTGCCAGATGTGAGATTTGTGCTGTGTTATTTTTGTTCTTCACACTAAAGATGTGAGTGCTGCTGACATCCATCATGAATATGTGTGGGTTGCAGCCAAGATGTAATGAATGAAGGAACTGTAAGACAATGGTATAGAATGTTTAAAGATGGGCGGGTGAAGAAATATTTGCAATGAAGAGCGAAGCGGTCAGCCTTCTGTAGTGAGTGATGATCTTATTCAAAGTGGTGACCAAAAAATTTGTGAAAAGTGACACTTCACAATGTCTGAAATTTCATGTGAATTTTCACAAATTTCACGCACTGTACTTTACAAGATTATCACAGTTTGGCTAGGTTGTCACAAGTTTCATGCAAGGTGGGTTCCAGAAATGCTCACGAGTGTGCACAAAATGCAGAGAATGGCTTCAGCTGTTGTAGACTTTTAGAGCAACACCACAAAGATGGTGATGAATTTCTCAGTCATAGTGTATGAATAATGATGATGAAACCTGGGGTTCATTTGTGAATTTTGAAACCAAAGAGCGGTCAAAATAGTGGATGAACACACATTCACCAAACAAGCTGAAAAATTTAAACAAACATCAGCCAGAAAGCTGATGGATGGCGACGAGAAGTGTGTTGCGAGACACTAAAAAGACTGTATAGGGCCTTTCAGAGCAAGACACATGGAATGCTGACATCCAGTGTAGTGCTCCTCCATGACAATGCATGTTCGCATACAGCTGCTCACCCTTGAGCACTGCTGGAGCGTTTCCACTGGTGTTGCTTGACCACCTACCTTACATCCCTGATCTTGCTCCAAGCAACTACCACCTGTTTACCTACCTGAAAAACTGGTTGGGATCACAGTACTTCAACAATAAGGAGGAGTTGATTGAAGGTTGTCAGAACGTGGCTGAGCTCCCAGGTGGCAACCTTTTTTTTGACATATATTCAAAAACTTATTTCCTGATATGTCAAGTGCCTGAATCCAACGGTGACTGTTTTGAGAAGTAACCTAAGTATGAGTATGTATGTATTTTTGTATATAATATTTTTTTTTGTCATAGCGGCTCCGGTCTAGAAAACCGATATTAATGGCCATGGGGATTCGTTGCGCTGACCACGCGACACCCTATCTGCAAAAGTTGGCACTAAACTTCACCGACAAGCAGTGGTCGCTCGGTCGGTATAGTATAGTTCGCTTGCGGACTAAAATCATGGAGTTTTTTTTTTGTCATTGCTTGTTAACAGCTCACTGGAGATTACTTTCTGAATAACCCTTGTATTATGTGTATTCTTGTGTTTATATATGATGTAAATGTGGAATTGTTGTTATGCTTGTGATGGTGTTGCAGACCGAGCCTACAGGAAGAGGAGGAGAGTATCTGAAAACCAGGAAATAGAAGATCGCTTGGAGTCATTAATTCTGAGAGTTGGAGAAAAGGTATGAAAATGTAATAAGTGTACTATTATTTTATTCAACCTACCAAAATCTTCATTAAAGGACAGTCCACTAGGGTCTTGCAGTATGCTCTGTCCATACTGAAATTTGAGTGCTAGTTCCAAAAGTTTCAAATAATAAGGTTGCCTTTTTTTTTCTTCATGTTCTTCATTGTCTTCTCCCTCTTTTGCCTTTTCTCCCCTCTCTTCCAGTACCATTGTCATCATTCTTCATTGTCCCTTCGCTCTCTTCCTCCCCCCTTGCTCCAGTCTTATCAAGGTTAAGCCTCTAGAACCTCTTCCAAGTCTCACTGTTAGTCTAACGACATTTTTTAGGTGTCACAGTTCTTCCCAAACACATTATTCACATGAGCATTGTATTGTCCTCCACAATTTCGGTATGGACTGCCCATTGGCTTCTGTATTTCTCAGTATCCTTTAGTATGTCAGTTGCACCAAATTGCTATCTAATACTTTGTTCTTTAGAAACAGCTTTTAAATTATGATTGGTAGTAATTACTTTCTTTTCAGAGTACTTCATCCTTGGAAAGTAACTTGGAAGGCCTAGCAAGTGTATTAGAAGCCGATTTGGCATCTTTCCGTAGCAAGATCCTTCGCATTCTAACAGATTGTGCCATAAAAATGCCAGAAAAATGCACTATATACACTACCCTGGTTGGACTGCTTAATGCAAAAAATTACAATTTTGGTGGAGAAGTAAGTAATGCAATGTTGTAAACTGTGTACTTCTAAATGTGTCATGAGCAAGATCAGGTTATGAAGGGCTTCCATTGAGCCTAAGCTGTTATATGCTGTGTCTAAAATGCTTTGATTGAAAATGAAAAGAGAAATTTTGAACAGGTACAGACAGGTTACACATGAATTTCAGCTCATATGCTAGCATAATTTATGCTTCTGCTTAATTAATGCCCCTATGCTTTTTGACAGGAAATTTTGGAAAAATATTAAGTGCTGTATTTTTACCCACAGAATTTTGTTAATCAGGTATGAATGTAAGTAATTGATCATATGATCTGCACTTTTGCATACTGCCTGCCTCTTGATTTATATATCATTATTTCAGGCAGAACTTGCTGAGGCCTTGGAAGTAACACTGATAAGCTTTTATAATATTATATCATAGCATCCTGTCACATATCGCATATTGATTCCTGTTAGTTTTAGCTATCTCACATGCAACTTGCTTTTTAAAACCTTTAAAAGTTTTAAACATTAAAATCTCTTCTCCATCATTGGTGAGGCCGCGCCATAGCTCAAGCTGTTAGTCACTGGCTTCCCACCACGGCGGCCTGGGTTTGATCCCGGGTCTGGTCAAGTGGGACTTGTGATGGACAAAGTGGCGCTGGGGCAGGTTTTTTCCGAGTACTTCGGTTTCCCCTGCCAATCTTTATTCCACCAATTGCTCCACAAGCACCCTGACCTATCACCTGGAGCTGGTACAATAGGCCAGACGTGGACGCAGTACAAGGGACTTAGTCCCACCCCAATAGCAATAAAAAAAATACATCATTGGTGTGTGCACACTAGCTGTCATAACAGCTACACATGACAAAATAAAAGGAACTACCCATCACTACGATACCTGGCTGCATAGATGAGGGTATATGCCAAAATTTGAACTTACGGATGGTAGCACAGCAATTTCATCAACATTTTTAGAGACACCTGAAGATGGCCAGTGCTCATCAAAACATGTAGTGTGGATACACCAGTGATATAGAAGAGGTTTTAACATTTAAAACTTTTAAAGATTTTAAAAAGTAAGTTGCATGTGAGATGTCTAGTGACTAACAGGAATAAACAAGCTTTGATCACCTTACAGAATTTGAGTAACGAGCCCTGCTAATGTCCATGGGCAGGTAGCCAGGCTAGATGGGTAATGGTGGAAGGGAAAGAGGGAGAAGTTAAAGTTGACACACTATGGAAGAACTCACGTTTAGTTTGCAGTAAGTAACTCAAAACATAGGCCATCAGATCATTACATAGGAAGAGTCAAATCTTTTTAGTGAATATGATGGTTCGGTAAAATGTTGAATGTATTTGAAAGTACTTCATTAAATGAAAACATACAACCTGTCATCAGTTCATCAGTGACATCAGCATTGATGGTCTCCCAGAACGCTGCTCACTGTTCGCCGACATACAGGCATGTTTAAAGCGGTTGAACCACTCTTTTAATTTGCGTGACCACCATTGCATCACCACCGAAAGCCTGCTGAATTTTGCGACTTGTTTCTGCTTGGGTATCCCCAAGTTTCTGACAAAACTTAATCCAGTATCACTGCTCCAAGCATTCTGTCATCTTGAGCGAAACGAGAATGCGACGAACATGTGTTACACCACTTTGCTATCTGGCAGCCACAGACGCATCCGGCAGTGTTGCGAGTCAGCAAAAAATCGTGTATGCGCATGAAAGTCCCTTCTACCACTACGCTCAGTTTCCCCACCCCTTTGGCCATTACTTACAGCGGAAAAAAATAAAGTCGGATACTTTTTGGTCATGTGGTAGTTGGTGCAGAAAGTTATGGGATTACAATGACAGCTAGTTATGATGAAGGTGCTTGGAAAAAGTGCTAATTTTATGCATTGGTTTTCCATATGTGTATTTTGAAGAAACTGAGAGTACCCTATTTTTTTGCTATAATGAAGTCCTTATAACCCATGCTCGTATCATAGTTTCACTGTCTGCCTTTAAGGAAAGGACCGATGTGTTGACCAAGTATAATGTGAGTCTTTGAAGGTTGATTTATGTAGTAGACTGTGTATCTTTGAAGTCTAGGGTGGATGTATTGAAGTAGTGTGACGTCTGTGTGATATCTGTTTACTGGTATAGCTAGAGTGTTGCTCTTATACTTTCAGATCCAGATATACCAGTACACAGATTGTTTCCTTCAGTTGTACATGTTTTTTATTTAATAAGATGACCATAGCTGATGGTTGAAGGCAATGGCAGTTTTCATTCGTGGACCATGAACACTGTCAAGCAAAAACATAAAGAAGTAATAACAAGACAACACCAATACAGCTGTACTTTAGGACCAAATATGTATATACAAGGGATTATAATAAATTTTCAGTTTTCAAGACATAACATTTGGATTTTGACCATTAATGCCAATTTTGTAATTACTTCAAGCATTCATTTTGAAAAATATAATTGAACTTCTCTCAGTATGAGCAAAATACAGTGAAACAAGTTACATCACATAATTAATATAGTTCAAGATGGCCATACGAGGCTGACACATGCGAACAAATCAGCAAAAGTAATGTGACACTGAAGTAATACACTACCACCGAATATTAAAAAAGTGATTTTAAATAGTAGAATGAAGTAATTACTGCAACAGGATGATGCCAAAATGTAATATTCTTTCACTGAATGTTCATTTTTACTCATCACAAATGTTAAATTACCTCCATATCACATTTTCCTCGATTCAGTGTTCAAATCCTCTGGTCCCTAAAGAAACCATAGATGGTGCATATGGTGTAGTGAAACTGGCTTGGTCACCAGGAACATGTAAATGCATGAAGGCTATGCACCCATTTTGGTGTTTCATCAAGTTGTAACTATTTTTTAGCTCTGCCATAGCCTTGTTTAATATACATGTTAACATCTGGTGGAAAAATATTGATATTTACCATAGTGAAAGAGTTTTCATTCATTTTGGTAAAAACGTTCTGTTGATGCCTAGGAAAGTGTTCAGTGATGTGGATAGGTTAATAATATTGCTTCATCAGGTGCACTGCGACACTTTTTTTGGACCATTTTACAGTTCTTAGAATTAGGAATGCAGATCCTGATTTTCCCTGCCTACATGCTTCATGTACTGTAGTGAACAGAACAGGAGGGTTTCTTTGTTGGTTATTGTCACTCATGCTCCAGGCTTGCCAGATGGCCTCAGTTGAGTTTCTGCTTATTGTGTGGGAAAAATGGATGTGGACATTTTGGGATCACTTGACTAGTAGCCTCTAAATATTTAGAATATGTAATATCCTAAATGTGACCTACCTTGTGAAGGTCTTTCCATATTTTGAGCTCCTGGTAATGTCTGACCATAAAATGTTTTAATTTTGCAGGTTGTATTGTTTGACCAGTTAAATGTCTTTTATTTTTGTTGTTATACTTTCTGGTGTGCCATTTTGAGTATGTTCAAGATTACATCATTCAGTAAATAGTTGTATAAGCTCACCAATTATTGTATTCACCATGTCCACAACACTTTCAGTGTTGTTGAAGCTTATATTGAGTCTTGTCATTCCGAAGAAGGTTCATCATCTGGTTTTGTATTAGTTTTGCTACACACATCTTATTTCTCATTACCTGAATGATCACCAGTCAAGTTGTCCCATCAACATCTGTACTTATTTCATTATCACAAGTAAAAACTCTGATGAGTTTATGGCCATTAACATGAACTTGACAGGGGCGGTAGGAAGGTATATTTTCTCTTGGAGTAACATGGCCAACAATTGCTGTTGCCCCTCCCTTGCCACTGCCATCTTGACTGCTTTACTGTGGGGGAAGGAAGGTGGTAAGTGGCCTATCAACCTACCTGCCACTCAGAACTTACACACAAATTGTAACAGACAAGTTAATCTAACAAAAAAGTCATCATTATTTTCTAATAATAGTGCAATTGTTGAATGACATTATGTTAATAATTTTCATCTACAGTTTGTTGAATATATGGTGCGTAACTTGAAGGATTCGTTGAAAGCCTGCAAATGGAACGCAGCCCGATATTCTTTAAGGTTTCTGGCTGACTTAGTTAACTGTCATGTAATCTCCGCGGGTTCATTATTACAACTACTGGATAACATGGTTGATGCTGCCAAAGAAGATGGAGTACCACAGGTAAAATAAATTAACAGTCTTGAGATGTTTAGTAAGATCTTTAAAGTTATCCGTTTTTCCTTATGCTAATACCTCTAAAACACATCTGCATCTTTGCACCTGATTGGGTCTGATTTCTTTGTTGAGCAGGTTCGCAAGGATTGGTATGTGTTTGCAGTGCTGTCGACTTTACCATGGGTGGGACGAGAGTTATATGAAAAGAAGGAGCAATCTCTTGAACATCTTCTGGTGTCCATTGAAGTATTTCTTGGAAAAAGGAGCAAAAAACATCATGCAGCCCTCCGTGTATGGGCCTTGGACACCCCTCACCCTCAAGAAGAGGTTTGTTTTTGAGATGTCTCATAAATATTCCTTATAATTTATTCTTTCTGAAATTACATAAATATGAAAATAGGTAAAAGGATGTACCATACGCCACAAGACAAGTTAAGTAAGGGCAAGAATATTCTGTTACTTTTGTAGCAGACCTTATAAGTAGACATTTCCATTGATTCTTTTGAGAAACATGTTTGAATTATGTGGTTTCATTTCCTATGACTTTTTGTTGGAACAACTATCACTGTGTAAATTTTTGAGGACCTGTACTTGCCTTTTGAGTTAGCATTCCAGTGTCTCTGCCTTGTCTGGAAACATTACTGCAAGTCATTTTTTGAATTTTATTTGGTGCATCCTGGTCCGTCACACTAGCAGCAGTATAAAAGATTATCGACTCCATGCAGTGTGATTGATAATTTTTTTTCTCCTTTTTAATCTTTCATCCTTGACATGTTCGAATTGGAGTGACCATATTCACAATTACGTATCGATACATGTGGAAACTACTATTACAGTGTGATTGGTCATTATCAATGCATACATACAATACCATTATAATGTCATGAATATAAAATCTTAGCCTTTAACAACTACAGCGATGTGCCTGAATTTATTCATCAAACAACGGAACCACGACGTTGTAGACACTCATCTTCCTTTAAAGAGAGGCAGTATAAAGGACACAGACCAAATTGGTTTTAGATTTTAAGAGAGTTTTTTAAACCACAAAGTAATTATAATAATTTATAGATCTTTTAATAAATTCAGGTACATTGCACATCAGATGCACCTTGATTTTGAAAGTGTCAGTTATGGCAGGAAATGTGGATTTAATTTCAGAAATGTTCATATTTCTTCTAAACTAATTATATGCAAGGGTTTTCTTTTCAGTTGATGTTTTTATGTACCTTTCCTTTGCAGTACTTGGACTGCCTCTGGGCTCAAATTCGGAAATTGCGGCAGGATAATTGGGCAGAAAAGCACATACCTCGTCCTTACTTGGCATTTGATAGCATTTTGTGTGAGGCCTTGCAGCACAACTTGCCAACAATTTTGCCTCCACCTCATCATGACAGCTATCAGTATCCAATGCCTCACGTTGTTTTTCGTATGTTTGACTACACAGACTGTCCTGAGGTACTTGGAAACATATTTTTGGTATAATTAATGCCATAAACTTATAAATTGTAATCATATAACAGGAATTATGCAAGAATGTGTGAACCACTGGAAATAAAAATTAAGGCAACCAATCCTTTTCAGTTTTTCTTTCTTTATTCCTCAGGGACCAATACTTCCAGGTGCTCATTCTATAGAAAGGTTCTTGATAGAAGAACACCTTCATCAGATTATTGAGATGCATCATTTAGAGAGAAAGGATTGGTAAGTTTCAAACTAGCTTTAACTTTATGTTAACAAGTTAACTTAAATATTCCATGTAGGAGCTTGTTACATATTCCATTTTGTATGTCCTTTCTCACACCTGTGTTATCATCTGTAGACATAACTAGCTTTAACTGTTGCTGAATCATTGTGAAGAGAGCAGTTTGATGTCAGTGAGACAGTAATAGAAGGTTATTATCTACATGTTTCTGCATACTGTTTAAGTGGTGTGATTTTGTTTTCAAATGAATTTGTATGGATATATAATTACTTTCAATTTCTTTATTTTTTTAGATGTAAATGATGTTAGATAATAATGATGTTAATATTACTTATTTTGTGTTAACATTTCAGTGCAGCACATCTACTTAACTTTCCATATAAATCAAAGATTCCACTTGACTACTCAATTGTGGAAGTAATTTTTGCCGAACTGTTTCACATGCCATCACCACGGTACCTGGAGATTGTCTATGGCTCAATTTTAATTGAATTATGTAAATTACAACCTAGCACCATGCCTCAGGTATTTTGAAGTGCATAATTTTAATTTACTAGCTAAGCTACTATTAGCTTAACAAGAATGACTCTGCTCCAAGAAATTAATTATGATTTTAATATTGGTAAAAGGTCATTTAGTGGATGGAGTAATTTGGAAGTTACTTTTGTACAAAGCGGCCTCCGTAGTCTAGAGGTAACGTTCCCACCTCATGACTCGTGGTACGCGGGTTCAAACCCAGCGGAGGTCGTTGAATTTTTAAGGGCGGAAAAATTCAGGGAACAAGTCCTCCGGGAGGGACTTTAAGCCATGCGTCCTGTGTCATAGCTTTACGGCACGTAAAAGAACCTCATACCTCCAAAGGAGGTCACTGAGCAAAATTGCGGACGTTTGCCACCCAACAGCAGTCACTAATACCTCCGGTAGATGGGGGAAGCATTATAGATACTTCTCAGCCAGTAGAGCCGGTCTCGCTGGCTGGGCGGGACTGATGGTAAGCACCAATACCGGTAGGATATAGAGGCTGGTAGAAATCATAGAGGGAAGCACAATGGACCACTACAGGTCTAAGTGCATGGGGAAACCCACCCTCTCTAATAACTAACTAACTACTTTTGTACAAAAATATTGTTTTCACAAAACCATATCCAGGATAAAATTAATAACATTTAGAAGTTCTTGGACTCATTAGTATACATTTCTTCTTGCAAATTGTGATTCCTTAAGACAGTTCACAGTTCAAGGAAATGAAGCATGAAAGTTTTATGCTGGATGGAAGCACAGGTAAACATATACAATTTTCACTTATGGAGAGAAAGAAGAAACCACTTTCTGGGTCATTTGCGGAAATGGATATTCATCCCGATTGAAAAGAAAATCATTATCTGCTGGGTTAATTAGTTTTATATGCTTACAGAGTTTAATGTTAATATATACCATAGTTGACCTCTAACCCTTTTGAGAGGGACAGATTGTTCACTTAGATTGCATTTAAATTCCAAGAGTGTTTACAGTGTGAGTCAGTTATTTACAGTGAAATCTGCATTTCATGAATCCCATGGGGGAATAGTTCTCTTATCACTAAATCATCATAAATCGTCAAAGAACTGTTTATATTTTTATAAGACTTACTATATATAATTAAGCTAAAATAATATATTTACATAAGTAAATATAGAAACTGTTTTACACAAATAGTTATGAGGATAAGCCAGAAAGCATTTCTTTTTGGTTTGCCAGTGCAGCTGAATGCACATAGAATGCATAGAACCTCCTTGTTGTTGTAGCGACTTGTTTGACCTTCGCCATTCAGTTCTCTTTCAATACTAGAGACATCACCATGGCTACTCCACTTACAACATAGAACCAAAGAAGAGCCACATGCAGTGATTTTTTTCTTCTTTTCTTGGAAGGGGGGTTGAAGTTGTAAGAGGTGTGGAAATTCATTGAGGGCTCTCAGCAGAGTATAGTGACAGCATTTCACCACAACAGATCAGTTGATGTTCATAAATGGCTTAGTAAGTGTGACTGATGAAAAACAATCAGGTGTTCAAGCACATTTACTGTTGAAGGGAATCCACTGGATTTTTGTTTTCTGTATGCAACACACCAGTGATATTATTTGTTAATTATTCACAGGGTCACTGTGTACTTAACTGTTGGTTCATGACAACATGTTTCGGCCATTATGTCGTGATCCTTAGGTGGTTACATGTGTTGCAAGTTCTGTTCCATGAGCTGATGCACTGTCAGTTGTATAGTCATATAGATAAAATAAGGATTTTTTTTAAGATTTCTTGGTTGTTATTAATAAGATTAAAATTTGAATGAACATTCTACCAGCCAACATCAAAGATAAACGTCAAGTGACAACAGAAGAACCAATTCCCAAAACAAACACAAAAGATAGCCAACTCAAAATGTGAAATATTATAGCACTGAAACTGAACATCAATCTCAATGTGGATGGTGACTCCAGTATGAATTTTAACCTTGTTTTAGCCAAAATTTTAACCTGTTAGTCTATCCTGTTGTTCAGAGTTAGTGCAAGGATTCGTTCAGTGTTCCCTTTTGTAGTTGATGAGAATGGGCACTATGCTTGTTCTTCATCAGTGCCACTTGTTTGGCCGCTTTTGCACATGTCAGTTCATTCATACATGCTTTTCTGCAGCAAAACACTGTCATGCAGGTAGTCTTCAGTGATTTTCTGCACCTCTTACATCATTGGCCCACAAAAATTGCATCACTGCACACTGCTCTCCTTTGATGCATGTTGTAAGCACAGCAGCTATTTTGTTGCTCCTGATTTTGAAAGACAGCTGAATGGTGAAAATCAAATAAGTAATGACATCAATAAGGAGGTTCCATTCTTATGGTTGTATGCACATTCTGGAGTGGTACCAGTTGCAAAAAAAGATATGGTCATTTTGTGAATAGTTTCTGACTTAGCCCTTGTACAGTTTGCTTCTGATCAAGTTAGGCATACATTCGATCCCGGGTCTGGTCAAGTGGGATTTGTGGTGGACAAAGTGGCAGTGGGGCAGGTTTTCTCTGAGTACTTCGGTTTACCCTGCCAATGTTCATTCCACCAATTGCTCCACAATCACCCTCACCTGTCATGTGGGGCTGGTACAATAGGCCAGAAGTGGCCACAGTACAAGGGACTTAGTCCTACCCCACTAGCAATAAGAAAAAAGTTAGGTATTCTTCAGAAATTTCAACACAACAGTTTTATGTTATTTATCCCTTCTGATAAGCTGGGTTACTGCTTGGAGTACCATTTGTATGTTTGGTTACATCATGTTATCCTGGTGTGTGTGTGTTTGTGTGCACATGTGTGTATGTGCGCAAGAGAGTTAAGGATATAGGAATTAATATGTTGATTAATACTCATCTTTGCTGAGATTGTGATTTCAGGAACAATTATAAATAGGTAGGTGTGCATGCTACTACCACTAAAGCATATTGGAATATTGCTTTTTAGGCCTGACAGGCTTTAGTTAATATATAAGCAGCATCTGGATCTCTATAAGCTTCTGCAGACTAGACAACTAGGTCTTGATTCCCAGAAGGGTCAAGGATTCTTTTCTCTCTTTTCCCCTTTTGCCAGACCAGTTCTAAAAGTCCATCCAGCCTCTTAGTGTTAACACTACTAGGGCTTCTGACCAATGGTAAAATACCAATGTGCAAAACTAATTATTATCTCCATCTGAGGTTATGAATCACAGAGTTATATCTCCATTCTCCCATGTGTCATCATGGTGTGGTGCTTAATTAAACATTTAATTAAACCATTTTTAACTGGTTGTCCATCTAGTCATAATAATATGTTGTTAATAGCATGTCTCCATATATGATTTCAGGTTTTAGCTCAGGCTACAGAAATTCTGTTCATAAGGATTGACACAATGAACACTGCCTGCTTTGATAGGTAATTGCTGTTAACGTTTGATATAAACTGCTTACAAATGTTATATTTTATTTGCATTTATTAATAATACTTCTTCTGATTTAGGTTTGTGAATTGGTTTGCATATCACTTAAGTAACTTTCAGTTTCGCTGGAGTTGGGAAGACTGGGACTCATGTTTACAGCTTGACCCTGAACATCCTCGTCCTAAGTTTGTGCGAGAAGTTTTACTAAAAGCATTAAGGTAATATGTTCAGTAATATTCTATGAGTGTTAAACAAAACAAATATGATACAGTAAATAAGAGGAAAATATCCAGGATATCATATATTTAATATTTGCAGGTTATCATACCATCAAAGAATCAAGGAGATGATGCCAGAGCCATTTGAATCTTTGATACCAGCAAAACCTGAGCCAAAGTTCAAGTATGCTGCAGAGGGTGCAGGTAGGATCAAGTGTCAAATTTGTGCATGTTGTTTCAATAAAGAAAAGTAGCCTGTTAGACTGATGCATTTGTTTTTATGTGTCCATAAGTATGAACTGATCATTCTTGTGATTATTTTAGCACCATTTTTTTTAAACTCCTGTCTTTAATGATTCCAACTTGGCAGTTGTGAACTTTTGAGCTAGAATTAGGACAGTAAGGTCCTAACGTTTGTGGGATATGATGAGAGCACAATAAATGCTGGAGCTTTAATTCATTAAGTACTTGGTACACATTTTCAAAATGTTTTGAATGTCTGTCTACATGGTCTTCAGTTCATAGATGTCTTTTTGAAGCCTTTGCAGGAAATGATAGAAATACTGCTACATTTGTTCGTATCATGTTCAGACTTATGGCCTCCCATTCAGTTCTTTCAGTGGTCCAGAGAAGTGTAAATCACTGGAACATAAATCAGGATTGTAACTTGAAGCACTTTCTAACCAATATCCTCTAGCCCTGATGATTGAGACAGACACAGTTTCAGAAATGTTGGGTACTAACTCCATGAGGGACACATGGTAGTGTAGTTGGTTGAGGCACTATGCTAACAAGCCAGAAGTCATGGGTTCAATTCCAGATGAGGTCAGTGGATTTTTTCAATTGATCTAATCCTTCCAGCTGCATCATGGCCCTGAGGTGGGTTCAGCCTGTAATAAAAATGAGTACCAGTAACTTTCCTGGGGGTAGAGGGCAGCCGGCACGTAAGACTTACAACCTCACCAACATCTGTGAGCCAACTGTCTGGAAAATGTGGGAGCCTTGACCTCTCACAATCCTCTAGCCTCCACAGTCTGTTACAGGGATACCTTCACTTTACTTCTTACAGACTCCACGTTCACATAGTCACCTGAAAGGAGTTCACCGGTGTAATTCATTGTTTATGAATACCTTATATAAGTATGTTACTCATTTTACAGTGGGGGCACGTGGTAGCGTATTTGGTTGAGGGGCTATGCTACAAGCCAGAAGGTTGCGGGTTCAAGTCCGGATGAGGTCATTGGATTTTTTTCAGTTGACCTAATCCTTCCAGCCACACTGTCGCCCTGGGGTTCACTCAGCCTCTAACAGAAATGAGTACCAGGAATTAATTAAATAATTTTCCTGGGGAGTAAAGAGCGGCCGGCACGTGAGGCTGACAACCTTATCACCATCTTTGAGCTGATTGTCTAGATAATGTGGGACCCTCAGCGACTCACAACCCCATGGGCCTTCACGGCCTGGTACAGGGATAGTTTTACTTTTTTACTTTTATTCATTCTACAGTAAAGTTTTTCTACTTATAATGTTAAAAAGTAATGGTGTGATTTATGAGAGTATGATATTTTCTGGCTTGGTAACAATACATTTGCTCATGAGTGGTCTTCTTGTCTTGGAGTTGAATATAATTGATTATAATTTTAGTTACAAATCACCAGATTAGGCAATTAACAAATAATTTATTGTTTAATGTCATATGTATCACAGATATCAGTCAGTGACAGACCCAAGTCTAGAAGTCAGATCATATTGAAGTAAGACCACATGACCTGACAAAAAGCAGACCTACATTCTCTCTTTTTCATGGTGACACATGCATGATAGCACAGTTTTGGAATATCCAGTTGAACAGTGAATTTACCCACTCCCCTGTCCTGGCACTCATGAACCTAAGAAATGGAAAGCACGTTTTCTTTCTATATCCTTCCAGTTTAACTGGTCTGTCAGCACACCACTAGTTAAACTTTTGCCACTGATGTCAATCCATGTTGCTCATATTGCATTCAGAATTTATAATATGTGACAGAATGATCCTGATCATGGTGTTACAAAATTTGAAGGGGTGTAAGGGAAACATAACTTTAAGAACAGAGAGGAAACATACATGCAGTATATTGAGAGCTTAGGTAACATTTGCAAACTTGGTTCTTGAAAGGAAAGATTCAGATTCTGCTTCCAGCACTGATGTTTTTATATAGGATTTAGTTCTGTTTCATCATTTTGCCATTTTACCATTTGCTGTAATATTTTATGAAGAAAATTGGCTTAAAGCTCTTTGCTTTTTCAGTGTGAAGTTGTGATATCGCACTATACTTATTTCACTGTCATACACTGTTATACATCTTAGCACTTTGAGATCACAGTATCACTGAATATGCACACCATGAATGTGCAAACTTCTGGAAAAGACAACTGCGTTTGTACTGAGATACTAAACTTCACAGAACAGCAGTATGCTCCAAGACACCGCAACATCTACTCAGCATACCGTCTGCTGCCATTTAGTGCTGTGTGTAAACACAGCTCTTGCTGTTGTTTCAGTTTGAATGCTATTCTACTTCCTCACATTCATAATGACATAATAGAAATGTTAATCTATTTTTTATATAGGGTGTAACTAAAAGGTGTGAACAAATTTAGCCCATGAGTTCTGCATACCAAAACAAGAGAAAATGTTCATATCACCACGTGTCTGGGAACTTTTAATTTCTGAGTTAAAGCTGAAAGAATACTGCCATATCCTGTTCAGTTGTTATCAGTTTTGATGACTCATATCTTTCTAGCCTGCTTCTGCATATTGTGGATTGACCTTCAAACACATTCCTAATGTTACTAGTGACAAATGTGCGACTGGCAGTCAGAGCATGAATCTGGTACATGCATGACGGTTCTCTGGCACATTCTAGCCATGTTGTGGAAGATGTTCTCAATAACAATGGGTCATGACCCATGGATAGTTAGAGGAGGACCCACTGCATTACCTACATACTTGCCAGATTTGAGTCCTCTGGATTCTTACTTGTGGGGAATACCTGAAAACCCTTGTGTATGCAGCTCCTGCTGACAATGAAAAGGCCCTTAACCATTGAATTGTGGATGCATTTCAGACTATCCACAGCTACCCCAGCATCTTTGAACAGATGTGGCAGTCCATGATGAGATATGTTGAGGCATGAATTGAATCTCATGGAGGACATTTTGAGCACTTAAAGTATTATAAATATACCTTTCCAGCTATAACTCACATACGATGGGGTGCCCAAAAGAAACCGAACTAATTTTTTGTGGGCAGAGCTTTTGTAGTACCGCGTTTTGCCACTATGAGCACATAGAGCTAACATTCCTGAGTCGATAAGCCGACTACCGTTGCTTCAGAAGGTAAGGACTAGTTTCAGCAGAGTTTATAGTGACAACTGTTTTGTGTGATCGTCGTTTTTGCAATGGCTGATTTTCGTGAACAGCGTGCGGCGGTGAAATTCTGCTTTTTGCTCGGGAAAAGTGGAACAGAAACTCTTGAAATGTTAAAAACGGCGTACAAGGACGATGCTATGGGGAAAACTCAAGTGTTTGAGTGGTTTTCCAGTTTCAGAAATGGTGAAATGTCAATTGATGATAAACCTCGTTCTGGTCGTCCTTCCACGACCCGAACACATGAAAATGTTGAAAAAATTCGTGAAATCATCAAGGAAGATCAACGATGGACCATTGAAGAAATTGTGGAGCTGTTGGGAGTGACTTGGAGCTCAGCGGCCAGATTTGTGGCAGTCGGGTGTCTGGTTTTTCCATCATGACAATGCCCCTGCTCACACAGCCCTGTCTGTATGACAATTCTTGACCAAAAATGGTATGACCCCTGTTCCTCACCCTCCATACTCACCCGACCTTGTCCCGTGTGACTTTTTTTTGTTTCCTCGAATGAAAAGAGACATGAAAGGAAAAAACGACGGAGGCACTGTCAAGCATCTCAAAAGATGAATTTAGACAATGTTTTGAAAAATGGAATAAAAGACTAGACAAGTGTATTAGTGTAAGTGGAGAGTACTTTGAAGGGGATTGAAGATTTGTGCTTAAAATTTGAATAAATAAGTTAAAAAAAAATAAGTTCGGTTTCTTTTGGGTACCCCTTCGTATTAAATGTTTCTGGACACTTGTTGATGTGGATATTTTTTCTTGTTTTGGTGTGTGGAACTCATGCCCAAAGTTTGTCCGCACCTTTCAGTTAATCCTGTATGTACAGAGATTCATTATATGATGCTGCTGTGTCACCGTAAGCCCATCGGAAATTTCCCCAATATACCCAGGTCAGTAGCTGAGGAATTGCAAAGTATTCTTTCCACTAGTAACAGGAAACTCTTAGTATTTCTTGTCAATAATAAATGTTATTACATTAATTATTCTCACCTTAAATCACAAAAATTGTTGAAAATAATATTCCTCTGCTCACAGCCAAGCTTCACATCTCATTTACACATTTCAAATACTCAACAAAGTTGGTGTTGGGAAATGTTCATAACCACTCATTTAATATTTTTCTTCATTTCTTCTGCTGTGTGTGGATTGTTGAGATACTTCTTGTCTTTCTGCATGCCCCCACAGGAAAAAATTACATGGGGTTAAGTCTGAGAAATGGAGAGGTCACAGATCATTGTTTACAGTTACCACAATACCGCAGTCCCATTGTACACAGCAGGATGCAAAACATGAAGCTGTGTTTTTTTTTATTTTCCATACATAGGTAAGCTTCTAAACAGGATTTTCATCACAAAATTGAAAAGGAAGTGTTTCCAGGAATGGAAATGCTGTACATTTTGATATACAGAATACACAGAATATACAGAATATTAGAATATTTTGTTCTGTCAGGAAACAAGATTTTTATGGTAGTAAATAACACTTCCTTCAGATACTCTTGTTAAAATGTTTTATGAGGCATCATTCAAAAGATATAATCATATTTTCAATAGTAATACCATTCCTACTTAAAATATGACCACCATCACCATATTACAGGGGATTTAAATCCACTACTCCCATAAAATAAAGGTTAAGGTATAATGTCACTGTGAGTTTAAATCCTGTCCAGAGTACAGATATTTGGGTTTCTGTGTGTGTCTTTGAGGATGCATAGTTGGCAGATTCCTCATCAAAGAGACTCATTTTCTTAAAACAAAGATGGAATTGGTGGACACCAAAGGAATGAGCCCAAAAATGAAGTAGTAGAAGAAAGAAACTTCATGTTTCTTTGTCAAACAGTTGCCCATTTCTGGTCTTTGAGTTGAGATATATTTTTGCTGAGGTTGTTTCATGTTTAAGATATTTTACATACAGAAGTTTTTAATCTTTAGCAGTCAGTTTCATCTTGCTAGAATTATGATACATTAATTAAGGGAGTAAGCATAATTTACGTGAATGTGGAGATGGTTCAACAAAGACAGTACAGGTTTTGTTACATTGTTTCCTAATTTCTACATATTTAAGATATTTGACGAGAATTTTGAGTCTTTACCAGTCTGCTTGTTCAGTAGGGATAAAGGTTGTACTAGAATCATTGTGTAAATAATTAAGAGAGTGAACATGATTTACCAGAGTCTGGAGTTGAATTGACATCGATAGCGCAGGTTTTGTTACAGTACTTTCTACTGTTGGTATTACATCTGTCATATCCTTTTCTGTGACTCGTTCTGTTTCATATATTTCAACCGTAGGATGTATATCTTCACTCTCAGATATCAGAGCTTGAGTCGGGTCTGAGCTTCCTTCTGTTTTTGTTAAATTATATGCATCTTCTATAGCAGCAGATGCTGCTTGAGATTTCATTGTGTTTGTTTCAGTTACTTTGTCTATGTTAGACACTAGTGTTGACATGTTTGGGTTACTTGAACTTTGTAAAGGAGCCATAACAGATCTATAAACAGTGTAATTTTTATTTTCAGTACCTGTTGTTTCCTTAATATATGAGTTATTTAATTCCTGGGGTGAAGGGTATGTTGCAGTGTTATGATTGATTGTATTGTGACTTGGCTCCGTCGTGTAATAAATCTGCGGCTCTGTAGTTTGGTGTGGATGAATGTCAGATTTTTCTGTAATTATTGTTGGTAATAAATACTCAGTTTTCATGCCGTTTTCCATCCTTGCTATTTGTGTCAGAAGTCCAGAAACTTTAACGGGTGATAGGTGTGTTGATATCTCTGGAACTGATGAAGTTGGTGAGGAAGCGTTGTTTTCCCTTACTGTAGATAATGGGGCCTCGCTTTCTGTGAGCCTGTGGATGGTTGGGTTTGTTGGTAATGTGTGTATCAAAGGTTTCATATGAGTTGCGTCTGATGCCTGAGTTGTGGCAGTTTCATGCTGGCCCAGTGTTTCTTCTGTCACTGCTGTGACAGCCACATAAGGTACATTTGTTTCGGTATAATTATCAGGTGGTGGTAACTGTGCATTGATTGAATCTGGGTATTCTATAGGTTTTTTGGATGCAGGAACTTGTATGGGTTTGTGTGGTTTAGGAGTAGTTGTTGGTGTTGTGGTAGGGAATTGAGTTCGTTCATTAAGCAAATATGTCTCCAGAGATGATCTGTTAGGATGATACAAAGGATCAGGCTCAGAATATCTGTGAAATGGTGGTGATGGATGGAATTTGTCGGGTTTTAGAGGCACTGTGTAATCTTGTTCCTCTCTGTCATCTGTTTGATGTACAGTGCCAGAAGTATCCCTGGGAGGCCCTTGTTCTTGATTCCTGTTTTCATTGTGAGACTTCAGGGAGTACTTGTACACATCCACAAAATGTGAATCATTTTTGTTGCCATGTGCACTTTTGCTACTCCCAGAATATGTTGGCATTTCTTTGTATGTTTGATGGTGATGATTCTGATAATCATGCCCTCCTACATTCCCATGAATTCCTGTTGAAAACCTGTGGCTTCCAGGGTATTCTAAGCCACCTCGGGAATCTACATTTCCTGGAAAAGAAACTCTGTAATGTTCTCTCTCAGTTTTTAAGTCTGTCCATGGTGGAAGATTATGAATAACATGTTTATATCCATCAGGACCTGTAACAACCACTGCTCCTAATCTACCCACTGATACACCCAGTAGTCCAGGCCTGTATTTCTTTCTGTATTTGTCATCTGATAGTTCATGGTACCCTTGATGACCATTTTTGTTTCTGAAGTCACTGAAGTCGTTATTTTCATTATATCTGTGATCTCGGAAATATGGATCAGGAACATATGGTTTGTGCCCTCTTCCATTATTAAGATTGTTGTGTGTATCTGGGAAAACAACCCCTGTTCTTCTCTGCATATATTTTGTTTCTGTCAAAGGGGTGTTACTGTATTGCCTTCTATAATATTCTTTATGATAAGAGTACTTAGATGGTGGAGATTTGTAATCAGAATACTTCAGTCTGTAGGGCCTGTAATAATCGTAATCATGATGCTGATAACTGTTTCTAGAAGGAATGTTATATTCATGCCTGTGTTTGGTAAAGAGGGGATCATGGCCAAGTCGTCGATGGCTGTCATTTTGTTGATGAAACTTCTTGGGTCCTGCATAGTGATCCCCTCCACAGCATTTATGTTGGGAATTGGAATCTCTCAGAAGCAATGGCCTGTATGTTGTTGCACCATGCCATTGAGCAACAACCTGAAACAGTCATGTTATACATTTTGAAATTGATTTCATGAATTGTTTGATATCATTTTTGTTTTTGGATATTGTACAGTGCTGACAGGACATGTAATATGCCTAGGAGATAAACGTGTTAGTTTTGTTGTGTCTGTAGTTCCCAACTCTCATTTATATATTGAATATGAAAGGAAGGATTTTGCATAAAGCAAAAGTGACTGAAATTTCTGCTCAGGCTTTGAACTAAGCTGGTTATCTTGGAATCAAGTTTCTTGCTTCATAAGTTCCAAATGAAAAAGAACGCTCTATTTCTGTGATCCCTTTAAATGTGTCCAGCTTCTACAAAACGTTAATGGATTCAAATCCTGTAACAATTTTTGTATAACATAGTATTAATATTTATTAGCCATGCAGTTGTATATTGTGCAGTGCACATATTTTATTTTCAATACAGTTACAATTGCACACAAGTTAAAAATGCAGTTGCCAACCCTGTAATTCTGAGGGATTAGGCTAGTACCATTAGAAGCTCTTTCCTTTAAAGTTGTAATCTTATTAGAATATAAGTAAAAGGCTGAGATTTGAAAATGTAAGAGCATGATTTGTAGGCATTTGATTCAAGGTTCGAAATGACTGAGTAAGACACAGGATAATGATAGAGCTGCTTAGTCATTATTTGAAGGACTCTGACCTTTGTATCCCCACTCAGTATTAAGTAGAAAGTATTTGCATTAAACCAAACTTTGGTAATGTTAGTGAGTTGTGTCCTGTGCCTGTGGTTTGTAACTGAAAGCTTTATTATTTAGAGAACAATCACATTCCAGAGTTGATACTTAAAGCAGGTACAACCAATGGAAAAAACAAACGGTGACAGAGTTACTGCAACATGAAATGTATGCATCAGTTGCTTTTATATTCTGTCCAGTGAACTAGTTCAGAATGTTCCACTGTATAGCCAAGCCTAACTAATTACTTCCATTGTGTCTGCATGTCACTCATTAAAATGGTGACAGTAATACACTGGCCTAGATTACTCATCTTGTGTTATATTTTCATGAAAAAACATATTTATATCTATACTGCTTTGTTTCAGATAGTCGCATTTTTTTATTGACGCTATTTGTAATTTATAGTTCTGGTCACTGAAATGCAGTTCAGTTTCTCTTATTAGAAATGAATGATTTACATTATGTCTGTTTGCAGTATATTTTTCCATTTATGAAATTATTATTTCTTGAATGGTTGGATACTTTAACCATTTTCAGTTAAACTCTTCTTATATTTGCATTCCTTATAGCTTCATACTTTTGCCTGTACCAGAGATAACTTGCCAAATAAGCCTTCTTTCTCTAACTGTTTTGTTCTGGCCAGTAATGATCAAAGAAGCTATACTTCATAAGGCAGGAGATGAAGTTTCGTAGTTTATTAGATGTGAATAATAAAATAGGGTAAAAATAATAATAATTTTCCACATTATAAATGCAGTATATGCATGAGAGAGAGTCAATAAATAGGTCACAAATTAATATAAAACATAGAACGTGATATTTGAACCTGGGAAAATATTTATTTCTCAACGTATCCTCCACCAACATTGATACACTTGTCACAATGCTTCAGCAGTGTGTCGAAACCCACAACATTGAAGTCATTTGGCTATAGTCTCAGCCACTTTGCACCTCCATTTCAACCTCTTTATCATAGAGAAATGTTTGCCATGTTTCTCGACCAAGCTGTGAACTGCTTTACGCAACAAACACTTCCCACTTTAAACATGAAGCATTTCTTTATGAATATCCTTCACGTTGAATCCTTTTGTCAAAAAAAAAAAAAAAAAAACAACAGAACGCAGCTCTTCAGCATTACACCCCTCAAGCAGAGTGGCCATTTTGACTACTGAAACCAGCCTCTGAACATGCACATCTGCTACCTAGACTCATGAAGCTGGATTGTGCCGCTATCCAGTGATACACATAGGCAACCTATTAATCCATTACAACTGTTTTACTTCCATTTATGACCTATTTAGTGACTCTCCCTCTTATAAATTACAACAGTGAAGTTGAAAGTGTTTTGTGTCTAGTTTAAAGGCATTCTTTGTGCTTATGCATAACTGCACATTTTCATCATCGTCATTGTTGGTAGAGTTTTCTATTCAGTCCATGCTCAGGCTCCTTAAGGAGTTGATCGTGTATAGGGGTGCCACAAGGTTTCATCCTGGCCCCCACATTGTAGTGTGTGTGTGTGTGTGTGTGTATTTATATATAAATAAATATAAATGGTTGCCCCAAACACCCAGTGTATATCTAGGTATCTTTGCTGGTACACCTGTATACCTGTATATGCAACAGACTGCAAAGAGGGTTATATTCTCAGAAAACTGCAGTAAGGTGATGCAGCTTGCTTTTTAAAACCTTTAAAAGTTCTAAAAGGCAAGTTGCATCTGAGACATCTAATAACTAATGGGAATAAATAAGTGATGTGCAGCAGGATGTTATTATACAATATCCAGAGCTTTATTTTTGTCAGTATGCTTTTCAAAATCTTTTTTAATGGAGTAAATGATTTAATTTTGCCTCTGTTATGAGTAGGTAGGAATATAAAAGTTTGATGAATGCCCTCATAGCAGCGATAGGACACGTACACACACACGCACAGGAAGGAGATCACGTAAGCCTGCTTTAGGAAAGTAGGCTAATAAACACTAAAATCTATAATTATGTAACAACATATGTGATAGAAATTCATCTGAGTAGACAGTCTTCCCATTGTACCAGTTCTTCTGTTTAATGTTAAGAGTTTAATGGTAAAATTTATAGTCTTTGAAAACTTTATATTTGGCTTATACTTTATATTGTATACTTCACTCTTTCAACTCTTTTGAAAATATGAAATTATCCGAAAGCAAGTGAAATGTATGAAAGTTATGATAAATGCTCTGTTTTGTCCACCTTTGCCCACAGAAGTTTAACATAATTACACTATTGTCAGTATGAGCCTGGAACAGGGAATTTGAGTATATAAAGTCTTTGTTGATAAGCTAACAAATACATCTCTTTACTGAGAAATCATATTATGAGGTTTAGCTGTATGAGGATCTCATAGTTCTGTAAGACTGGTGTGTAAAATATGAACTACTGTTCGGATTTTATAAATTTGTCAGGGAGAAGAACATTTTACATTCCAGTAGCTGGCATGGTATGTGGGTAAGATGGCATGCCATTCAGAAGCACAGCTGGAAGAATATGAATAACTCCATACAATTGTTAATATGTTAAAAACAAGACCTTTTATATAGAAGAGTTTAATTCTGGATCCCAATTTAATTTTGTTGTTCATTCTTTTATGTATTTCATATACATAATCATGAATACTGTTGAATAACTGTCTATTTAAGAACTGAATGGTAAACATTCAAAAGTGATAAATTTTTCTGCAGAAAAGTATTTTGACTTCTTTGTTCAATAACTAGGATTAAACTAGCTAAATTAATGTGATTACAAACTTACAAACATATGTCTTTCATATTATGAACCCCTATAGAAGTCATTTTGTGCATATATCATTTGTGGAGGGTGCATTCAGTAGCATTGTTGGTTGAGGCACTACGCTACAAGCCGGAATGTCACGGGTTCAGTTCCCAATGAGATAAATGGATTTTTCAGTCAACCTGATCTTTAAAGCTGAACTATGGCCCTGGGGTCAACTTAGCCTCTAACAGAAATGAGTACCAGGAATCTTCCTGGGGTTAAAGAGTGGCCAGCATGTAAGGCTGACACCCTCACCACCTTCTGCGAGCTGATTGTCTAGAAAATGTGGAGCCTCTACATCTCACAACCCTATGGGCCTCTACAGCCTGTTACAGGGATAGCTTTGCCTTTTTATTATCATTATTTGTGGAACTGTTCTGCCACCCAATTGGAGGAAGAAAAATGTGATTTCATTGCCTTGCTACCATTGTTGCTTGGAGTCCAAAGCTTTTTGGAAATTTCCATTTTCATAATCACATGAACAGGAATTCTCACTGGATTCAAATTTCTACCACCCTACACACATGCACACACACATACACATATGTATGTGCACCACACCACATACAGCACACATAACACCCACTGAGCATGTGCGTCTGCACACACCACTGATTCTAATCTAAGTGCTACATGATGTAAATTTTATGTTCTTAGAATTTATCGATATCTTGATTCTTCCATCAAATATTTCTTGAATATTAGATTGTTTTATGACCTTTATGTACATCTTAATAGTTTGGGGCTCGTCACAATGGAAACATTATCTTTCCACAATGATAAGTTGTACCTACCATAAAAATGAAGTACCACTCTATTCTTGGGTTCATTTCAAACTTTCTCCCTCCTAAAGTCTCAACACCAGTATCAAATTACTTATTCAAGTAATCTGAATGTTGCTTTTGAGTCGCAGAATGAGCATCACACTGAACGTATGCACAGTCTCATGAATACTGAATCACTTTCGCTCTCCACATCGTGATATCTGGATAGGCAGTGACTTGTATTATTTGTCATGCTTCGTAGACTGTGATGCTGTTTAACAGTAGGTGGTTATCCAGAAATCTCTGTTGCCGACTCTTGCCTTCCTTGAAACAGTTATGTTTGGAGAGGAAGCTTGTTCATGTCCTTTTCTAAACTGTCTGCTTCAGCGTAACAAATCAGGGTCATTCTGTTGTGAAATGCTTTAGAGAGAAACGGTGTTTTATTATTGTGTCAGTTCTGCAGGTGTGGGTTTGTCTGTCTTTAGTAAGATAATCTTATGATTTGAAGTCATCAAGCGTGGAATAACATTTGTCTGAATGTAAGGTCCATAATATGACATATGCTGCTCAAGGCTACCTGCTGCCCTAAATGTGAGTTCCAACATGTGAGAAGACCGGGAAGGAAGAGAAAGTAATTTATTTTAGAAGGATATTGCATTTGACCCAGCATCCTCGTGTGTTTTAATTAATTAGATTATTGTGTAACAAAATAGCATGCTTCTAAAATTTCAGAACTCACTTGCAACATGCTGAGTTACGCAGATTGGTAATGTGGTTAAATAAGTCACAGTATAAAGATAGAAAGAAAGGAAGGGTAATGTTCTTTTTTGTGCTTGAATAAGCATCACTCCACAAAGATATATTGGAGAATGGAAAGAGAACTCCATGCAGTCTTAACCGCAGCTCTAAATGGAGAGCTGCTTTACCCCTGGGGAAAGAGCCCTTGGTATCATTTGGACAGAAGGCTGGGAGGGCTTCAGAGGCAGTCTGGATGCTGTAGAGAAGAAAAAAATTCTCTTGTCCCTGCTTGGAATTGAACCCCAGTTCCTGTCATGCAGCCTGTAACCTAGTCATTATACTGTCTTCAGTTGCATAAATATTTTAGGTGTTTAATATTGTGAAAATCTTTAGTATGTATGTATACATTTAGTTGAGCCACTGTGATTCAGTATTGAATGGGAAGTGAGATCATCACCTGTAGTTTACAGAAATCACCAAATCTTCAAAGGTTGAACATAAACAGCGGTGGGAAGATGTCAGTTTATGAAATCCAGGTATGAATAAATACTGGTAGACTTTATGAAATGTATTGTATTTAGAGGATATTTATTCATTGATATCAGATTTTCAGTTGCTTATGCATACAGCATCTTTCCAGGGTAACATTGTGTTTTCTTATGATGTGGCCAGATAATTTTAAACTAAGTATTGCACTGAGTATCCCTTCATTACTACATATTTATACTGAGTAGGGTGGCTTATGGTAAAATTCGTTTGACTCCTTTGGATTTTGAATGCAGAAACCAAGACAGTACAATATAAGAAAGGAGTCATGACCCTGTTTCATACCTTTCCCATGTCATTCTTTAATTATTATAAGGACATAGTGTACTGTTTAAAATGCAGCCCAAAGAACAATCATGTACTGTGCTAGAGAAATTAAATTTTAAGGTGTTCCCCCCATGAAGTGGACTCCCAACTTTGATCATGACACTGAAGTCAGTGTCACCCTGTTTGCTAGGCTCTTGCTATTGTCAGTTACTCAGAAGCTCTGCAGATGCGAGCATGATGTATTTATGAACAGAACTTATGTTTAGAGATATTGGGTTTTCGGACTTTATCCATCGTCCTGGTTTTAAGATAACTAAGAAAAATGCAACGTTTAAGAAACTGGATCGAGTGATTGACAGAATAGGTGTTTTCCCTCGCCTGAGGACAGAAAAAGATCCAGTTTCCAAAACATCGTGTTTTTCTTAGTTATCTTAAAACCAGGACGATGGATAAAGTCCGAAAACCCAATATCTCTATGTGTTATACACCATCGTCAGAATCCTACAGTAACTATTAGAACTTATGTTCATTTCCAAATATTATGACACATCAAAATCATATGCTGCTGTTCAGGAAACATTTAGCGGTACATACATATCCACATTGAACAGTTTTGACAGGTGGTTTGCGCCACATCAATAAAAACTAACAAATAACTGATTTGTCTTTTTACACTGATGTTACCTGTAAGCTTACATACAGTGTTATAGTTTGGGTTGCATTTTAAATGGTACACACAGTATATGGCCAGTATATAAAAATATACTAAAGTGTGATTATTTTCTCAGGATCTTTACCTGGTACAACACATGCACATAAATTAGTGGTGTCCATCAGAGCAAAGTGTAAACCAGAGGAAGTTCTACATGTACTAAAAGACTTGCCTAATTCTCGACATGATGATGATGCTGATTCACGCTTCAATCCACTGAAGATTGATGTCTTTGTTCAGACACTATTGAACCTAGGATCAAAAAGCTTTTCCCATTCATTTGCTGCCATATCAAAATTCCATTATGTGTTTAAGGTACTGTGAAATTCACAATTAAAATATTCAGAGTAAAGACTATATGAAATACTTTATGTACAGGAACATCACTAATTTGTTTTAAATATCAGAAGTGTGGATTATTGTTGTATTGTTTAGTCTTTGTTGTACCTTAATAAACAGAATGTTCCACAAGACTTCAACCTTTTTTTTATTGCTAGTGGGGTGGGACTAAGTCCTTATAGTACTGCAGCCACTTCTGGTCTATTGTACCAGCCCCAGATGATAGGTGAGGGTGATTGTGGAGCAGTTGGTGGGGCAGGGGAAACTGAAGTACTCGGAGAAAACCTGCCTAGTGCCACTTTGTCCACCACAAATCCCAGTTGACCAGACCCGGGATCGAACCCGGGCCGCCACAGTGGGAAGCCAGCGACTAACCCCTTGAGCTATGGCGTGGCCAGACTTCAGCCTTGGTGGACTTTTGTTTAATGAGACAAGGGAAAACCTAGATGGAAAACCCATGCATATGAATATACATATATAGTCCTTGTTTCTAACCCTTTCACAAATATATTGTCACGTGTTGGGTATTGCACGCAACAAATAACTATGCGAGGGTCTCGGATTCAGCAAATCTTTATTGGACGCTTCACTTATACACTTATGAGTACAATTACTGTCCACTGTTTCGCTGTTATAATTAATTCTTGTTCCATTGTCGGCTGCTATATTTCAACTTTCTTCGGCGGCGGCTATTCCAAGACTCACTTCTGTATCCTTCGGCATCTGCCCCGAGACTGACTGCTTCTTGTCGAAGCTGGGCTATTTATACCTTGGCGGTTGCTATACAGTGAGCCTTCTGTTGTCTATCACCGGGGAAACGCTGCTTGTTGATACTGCGATACCTATGCAATGGCCAACTGCTGGGGCTACAATACCACTATTGTCGCTTCCTATGCAACGGTCTGTTCTAGCGTTTCCATAGAAGTGACTCTTCTGGATTTCAAACACGTTACAATATCATAATGCATTCAGTGATATACTAATTCATCATCTGCTTTAACAGCCTAGGAGAATGCTCCTCATAAAATTACTGTTTTGGTCACTTTCACCAAGAAGGAAATGCAGTTGGGATAATAAATTTGTCATCATCGTCATCACTAAAAAAAACAGCCATTTTTGAGCTATAACCTTCCTAGAAGATTCTGCCAGACTGCATCCAGTTTCCACTTCTTTGGATTTTGTAACAGTATTTTTTTTTACAGAGCAAGGTTGTCAGCCTTGTGTCCAACCCCCAACCTGGAGGACCAGGTCCCCAGTGACAGGGTGGACCAGTTATATCTCCAGGCACCAGGTTCCTTCTATGTTGCTTTCTACAACTTGCAGTGGGGTATTCTAATATGCCTTCATTTGGGGAGGGACAGTTAATTACTGCTATGAAACCATGGCAGTAAAGAGGTTAAACCTGACCCCCCGGAGATGTATTCCTTTGCACTGAATTGTCTGGTAGCATGCTTATGCATTTGGAAGGTTTGTTTTGCTGTAATAAGACAGTGTTTTTGTTTGGTGCAGTGTATGCTGTGAGAGCAAATGGATGCTAATGCTTAGAATGTCATTCCTTTTGATCATTGCCTTAACTCCCATTTGTAAAATATTCCATTCTCTGTGTCTTCAATCTGCCATAGAGATTTGGCATTCAGAATTCCAGCAATATATTAACATTTCTTCCATGCCCCACATTCACTCCAAATAATCCCATTTTCGCAGAAATCAAGCTATGCTTACAAGAACGTTAAAAATGATATTGTAAAGAATCCTGCTTTTCAGAATGTGAAGCTGTATAGTCCTGTAGAATGTTATCGTCATTTTTGAGGAACGTCTTGCATTCGTCTTAAGTGTAGATCCTGAATATGAGGGCAGCAGGATTCTTTGACAACGTTGGTAATGTTCTACCACACTCCAGTGTCACGTCCCAGAAAACAGTAACCTTCATAGTTACTGCGGTGAGAATCTGAACCCCCTAAGTGGTGATGTATTTTTCATGCCATTTTGGTGGAATAAGGCACACATAATTTCCTACTATGCACAGGCAAAACCATGAGAAAATGCTATTGAAAAAGCTTGTTTTATTCGGTTAATTTTTCAGTAAAGCTCAAAGACAGCATGTCCGTTTGCAGCACTAAACCATATCCACTGTACAGTCACAAATAATATACATAAATAAAAGCTGGCAGCATTAAATTAAGCACAGAATGAGTGACAGGAGAAAGCTAAATACATGCTCCTCCCATTTAATCCTCTAAGACATCAACAGTAAAGTAAATACACTTGGTCGTCGACTCACGACTGGCCGCACTTATGACCACAAAAAAAATTAAAAATAAAGATGATTTAAAATGTAAAAGTTTTTAAAAATAAATTATAAAGATGATAAAAAGATTAGGAAGGTTAAAAAATACTGTTAATAAATATATGGCCAACATATGACCAGATCGACTTACGACCTGTCAGTAAGAACGGAAGTCGGTTGTAAGTAGAGCAAGTGTATAGTAAGGTTTCACCTACATTCAGTATCATGTGACAAGACTCAAAATGCATGTTTCTGATTAGGACCATAATGACAAAAACTGGGGTGTAAAATTTGATGTTCATCATTTGTCTGCAGAAGGATGACAAAAGATTTATGTTCTTTGAGTTTCTTTATGAATACAATTTATAAGGCTATTGTATAAAATAAATTGATAATACGGAATTTTGTGACTTCTGTGTTCGAGAAAAGTTCCAAATGTATTGTTTACAAGTAAAATTGAATATTTTAATATTCAAATTACACTGGTAATATTCAGTTTTGATTTTTTAGGAACTGGCAGACTCAGAGGAGGCTCAGATTTGCATCCTAAGGAACATGTTTGAGCTTTGGAATGATCACCAACAAATGATGTGTGTACTTATTGACAAGATGTTGAAGACACAGATAATTGAATGTTCAGCTGTTGCTAACTGGATCTTCTCTAAAGAAATGTCTGGAGAATTTACAAAGTAAGAAAACATTACTTATATCACTGGCAACTTATATTAGACTACCTGGCACTACACAGCACAGAAGATGGTGCTCTTCAGTCACCACTGTGAGAACCTTAGATCAATTAAAGAACGCGTGATGTTGCTGATGTATGTGCCTTACTGTTTTGAGATTAGAACAGTAAGTTTGACAATATTATATTTCAGCATCCTGTTACACTCACTCACTGTTACTCAAATCGACGCGTGTAGATTAACAAAGATTTTATACAATTAGAAAGACTGGTAATTTTAAATTTTAAAAAGCAGTGTAACAGCTACGTGAGTGATACACACCTGATGATGGCCATTTAGGGCCGAAACATATAGTGTGGAGGAGGAAAAGAAGTAAAAACTACAATAAAAAAATTTGTTGCACTTAAGACGGTATTTATCCATATATACAGTAAGTTTGAATTGAGAAAAAGTCAGAAAGAACTTGAAAAGCTGGAAATAATCAGTAATTGTACTGTAGTTTGTAGCATTAATGTAATCACTCTCAGGCAGATTTTTATATTGTTGAATCCATGTTGACATTGAAACCTATCAAGGCCCAGGACCGAAAAGTGGTTTGGGATAAAAAAAAAATTTAAACAATACACACACCAAATAAATATAATAATATAACTGGTCAAGTGAAAGAAAAATACAGACTGTCCCAAATGAGGACGAAACAACGTAAAACAGTGCACCAACTCCGCCGTTAATTTAGCAAACTTAAAAATATTCAAGAGATAATTTGGAATGAGTTGAGCACACTCTTCTACGGCATGCAGCAGAATCTCCTTTCAGTTTTCAGACGAACCTGCTAGTCCCTGGTGAAAGGGTGAAGGGCGCAAGCGTAGGGCAGGAGGAGAGGGGGAAAATGAATGAAGGGGGGTTCCTAGTTGAGGGACATGGCAGTAGTTTCTGATGTTACAACATGCTTTCTTCATACATACCAGTTTTTCAACCATGGCATAAAACTTGTATGTACAATCTTGCATGGAAATTTACTTTCAAATCAGCCATGTCCATTTCACTTCCACATCATGTTGCGTATTTTTCTGCACTCCATCCGTCCCTATCAACCTTCTTTTGTATACTGACCATAACAGTGTGCAAATGTTGTCTTGTTGCTCCTTGTTAACTTTGTACACTTGTGATCGCGCAGTAGTATTTTTGTTTAATTATGTTCCCTAAGTATATGAGTGAAAAAGTGACACAAATGCAGAAAGAACAAAAGAAAGAGAAATGTGATCACTTCAGAAATTCAAGTATATGTGTTAGAAAGGCTTGCACATGGAATATGCAACTAGATAGGCCTTCATGAGTGCACCACAGGTGTGAGAACCTAACCTGTTTGTATGTGTATAGAATGGATTTAGTTAGTTGTGTCTTAGTATTACTGGGTGTCTGGATTGTTCCTGTTCTCAAGTGATGAGGTGCAGAGGAACCTACTGATAGTTTGTTAAAAGAGATAATCTCAGTCACTGAATGTCTCTTGTAATGGGCCCAGCTGAGTAGCTGCTTCCCCATCTTATCTCCTGAGGATGGGAAAAGAAAATCCAGAATACTAGATGATGGACAAAATTCAGAAACCCAGCACCCCTGGAAGTAATTGTATCTTGTACTGTATTTTATGGTCTTAGACTGTACCTGTGGGAAATACTACATCTGACAATCCGCAAGATGAGCAAACATGTGAGCCGTTTAGGACGTGAATTAGCTGAAGCTCGTGAGCGATTACGGCACGCAGAGAGTGACAGCGATGAGTCAGAAGATGGTGATGGAGAGGGAAACAATAACTCTAGCAAGCATGGCATATCAGGCGTGGGAGATGACCATGAAAAACCTTCAGAAGACATGGTAGACCGGATGGAAGAACGCCTTGAAGCTGCACAGGCTGACCAGAAGAACCTTTTCCTTATCATATTCCAGGCAAGATTATGATCATATGGAATAACACTGAAAAAGCCTGTTACATTTGAACATATGTTACCGTCATTCCCAATTATTTGATCTATACTGCAATTTTAAATGATTTATTAGCTGCCATTTTGTTATGATTTTATCCTGTATTGTGTTGATGAATCATTAACTTACATTGTGGTTTTCTGGGCCATGATACCATGTACAGTGACACCCCATTTAATGTTTGGGATGCTTTCTTGGAAATGCAAGCACCAGCTGAATCAGCATTATGCATCATTATTTTTAATAGAGCAGTTACGGAGATACATTCTTAAATCTTAATTTAGTACAGTCATACAGTAAATAAAGTGGTTAGATATAGTTACAGTTATTTAATTTATATAGAATTCTATACAGAATGTATATGGTGCATAAAGATTGGCTCTACATAGAAGAACACTGAAGTGACAACACACAGACACCACATATAGTCAGACGTCTTGGTACACACAGTCAAACTAACTGAACCAACTCAGTGGCTGGGAGTATGAGCAACTGTAGGTCTCAGCGCACAGCCCAGCTGACTGAACCACTTCTTAGTGGCTGGGAGAGTAAACATTGTAACTATTACAATCGCTAAAAGACTTTATACAGTGGCATTGCATCATGCAAGAGTTATTTAGTAAAAATTAGTCCCTGAATAAAGAACATTACATGGTATAATATTAAATGGGATATTACTCTAATCTTGGTAGATGGGTAGAAGCATTTCAGGGGAACATACTGCCTCCATCTTTAGTAAAGAAATGAAGGTGGGGCATCATGTTCCTCCAAATTGTTGGTATGAACCTACCAGACTACATAACCCATTAGCCCACAGTAAGAATCTTCTCTTCCATGAAAACTATACACACACACACAGCTTCTTCCATACTTCTATTGCAATCCTGTTACTAGTATCTAATAAAGCTTCTGTGTGTGTATTTTAGTATTTATGTTTACATTGAATAAGTTAACATTGCCAGCACAGACCTGAACCTGATGCATCCCATTCACTTTTAGTTCCCCTTGGTTTTCTTGGGCCTTACTAATGTTGTATTCTGAATTAAAATTGAAAATCAATGGCAATAAAGCACTGATTCATTTCAGACCAATCTGAATAGGAAATGCAGCAGATGAGCATCTGCATGCTCAGACTTTGCTATATGTTTTATACCAAATTCATTGAGGGAGTTATACAGTACTTCCCTCTGAACTGATACATAGGCCTTCTTGAAGTCTTTAGACAGCCGATTTAGTGTCCCATTATCTTCCCAATTTTCTGTGGTGTCTTACAAATGCAGAACATGAGATCTGTTGCACTGATGTCAAAAGAGATTACCCCCAATTATTTTTTCAAAAATTTAAGTTAACCTTGAATGAATGAATGAATGTGTAAGGGGTGGGGCTTCTCAGCCCTTGCACCGCGACCTACAGTGGTCTATTGTGACTTAGGAGAAGACTGGGATAAAATTTTATATAATTGGTGACAGTGTACTGCCTTGATAATTATCAGTCAGTTTTTTTGCCCTTTTTACAAATGTATACAGTATATATAAAGAAATCCCTGATTATGTTTTCCACAGGCATATACAGAACATTGCAATTTCTGGTAACTTCTCCTCTTATTTAGAAAGTAAATCAGGTTAAATCTAAAGCTTGAGGCCAGCTACTCAGTGATTTTCATCAGTCTCTGAATACTGTGATATTTTTTTCAAAATGTAACTGCTGCTTCCTCTTAAACTTGCCACACACATATTTATCTTAACTTATCTTGATCTTTATGTTATATAACCTCTGTTTTAAAGGAAGGCATTGTTAGGTAAGTTTGGAAAATACAAAAACGAACATAGTTTGAAGCATGAACACATCTTGTGCCAAAAGTTACTTGATAATGTAGATGTTGCAATAATATTACTTTCCAGTGAGCTTTATTAGAGATTAAACCTATACTGAGAAAGTAAGTAGCCATGAATATCGGCAAGATAATAACTAAATACGTTCACCACAATAAAAAAAAGCAGATGAATTTTCTGTTGTATTGTTTTATTTTATTATACGAGGTACTATATTACATTTTCAGAGATTTATAATGATTTTATCTGAACACTTGGTGCGCTGTGACACAGATGGAAGGGACTTCAATACACACTGGTATAAGTGGACCATCGGACGGTTGCAGCAAGTGTTTCTAGTGGTATGTAGACCAAGAATTGCTGTATCATGTGTTTTCAACACTTAATATTTATATGGGAATTTTTTTATTAAGAAATTTTTTTTATTAAACCTTAAAATAGATGTGTGACAGGCCTAACTACATAATTTGCATGTTATTACTTGATCCTCAGTTGGTCCTCACCTATCAGTACTCAGAACAGATGATTTACTTTGTAGGGCTGAACAGAATTCACATATATTTGCTATTCTTTAGTGCCACGGAAGTACATAAATGAATTTATTGCAGTGGTAGAGAAGAATCAGAATACATCATTTCATAAATCTGCTAGGAAAGTTTAGGCATTAAATTTGGTACTCTGTACATATCATTGTAATGTTTTTAATATCTTCTTTCCCCCCCCCCTTTCTTTCTGTCCTTTAGCACCATGAACAGGTCCAGAAATACAGCTCTACTCTGGAGACCCTACTTTTTACACAGGATCTGGATCCACATATCCTGGAAGTGTTCCACCAGTTTACATCTCTTCGTGCATAAGAATGTAACTCCTGCCAGAAGTGCATTACTGAACATTTTGAATGTTTGGGGGAGTATTTTATTTATGAAATTGTTGAGCTAGAACTGGGAGTGAGGTGGAAGTTACAGAGTTAAGATTGTTTGGGTGTTAGAGTAATAAACAAGTGGCTTGGCAGCAGGTGATTACAGGTCAAAGGCTTCAAAAACTGTTGTAGCAATATTACCTTCATTTGAATGCTTGCATCACTGTTTCATTCAGTAAATCTGAAAGGTATTAGTGCATTTACATAATTTACGACTGCATAATGTACACACCTCTGGGTTCAAACAAGAAATTTCTGAAAAAAATAAATACTCTACCAGGACAGGATGGTCCAGGTTATGGTAATGTTTGCTATTAATTCTTCAAAACCATAACCACTAAGGAGACTTGGCCATCAATAAATACTTACCTTATATTAGAATAATACTAAACAACAAAGAAAGGAAAACATACTATAAAATACAGTTTACAATCCTGCATATTTCACAGTGAAATATTTAATGCAACAGTTTTTGGTCTCAAAAGTATTCCTGAAAGGACTGATTCTCAGTTGCATTAGTGTTTTGTTTTGTTCATTTTTCCATTGAAAAATAAAAAAGCAAGTGATGTGCTGAAATTTATCATGTTTTAATAAATTATATACTGTAACAGACTTACTTGTGTAGACCTACAACTTATTAAAATAACATGGGTCAGCAAGTGAAGTACATAATTACAGATATACATATACAAGGTGGTATCAGAAAAAAGCCAAGATCACACTTCTGAAAGCCTATGCATCATTCTGCCATGTGACACCACGCTGTGAACACATGCTGTTTTTGACCTCGTGTTTTGTTTTGTCTGTGATGGGTGGCAAAATTGAGCAATGTGTCTGCATCAAGTTTTGCATGAAGCTCAGTAAATCCACTACCGAAACCCTTGAAATGCTTCATAAGGCTTTTGGAGAACATTCTTTAAGCTAGACAGCAGTTTTTGAGTGGCATTCACGTTTCAAGACTGATCAAGTGTCAGTTGAAGATGACAAACATTCGGGGCAACCAAGCACCAGCAAAATGACAGGAAATGTTACACATCCCTGAAAACCACAGAGTTTGTGACCAACAACAACTTGGTTATCATTCCCCATCCTCCCTATTCACCGGACTTAGCCTCCTGTGATTTGGCTTTATTTCCCAAATTGAAAATGAAACTGAAGGGATGATGTTTTCAGTATCTGACATCCAAAGAGAATTGCAGGCAGTACTTGACACCATTAAGGAAAATGACTTCCAGGGTGCTTTTGAAGCATGGGAAAAACAATGGGACTGTTGTATATGTTTCCAAGGAGACTATTTTGAAGGAGATGGCAATTGAAATTGAGTAAGTTTGGCCAGCATTTCTTTTTTGACATATTCTGGGAAGTTTCCAATAGGACCTCGTGTATATATATATGTAGCTATGTGTAAGGGTGAAATGCAACCATCTTCACATTCTGCTACTGTATTGAATTTAGAGTTATGTTTCTGTATATGCTTTCACTCTCTTCTTAAGCAGTGCAAATTATTATCTTGTATAAATCAGTATACCATTCCCCAGGTATGTATAAATAAGCAGATTTAGCAACTCTAAGAATATGTCATACTGTGACAAACATGAATACTTCAGAACTGCATTTTATTACAGTGAAATAATGAACAGTGAAGTTCTATAAAATTTATTATACATTATACAAAAACAATTATTTGTGTGTATTTTATCAGTCTCATTGACATGACAATTCCTGTTTTATTAAAAACATTTGTCTGCAATTGTTTACTTATTGTACTTCTTGATAAGTTGCATAACATCTTCTACATCATATTGAGATCCAAGGAAGATGGGACATCTTTGATGGATACTGTCAGGAACTATATCCAAGATTGGAGTTGTCCCATTGGATGCAAGCCCACCAGCGTGTGTCATAATGTATGCCATTGGAAAGCATTCATACAACAGTCGAAGCTGCAATTGTAAATGGTGTGAGTGTATATTACAGATACAGAATAGCTAAAGCCCTTCCTTGATAAATGAGTCTTTCTTGTTGGTTTTTTATGATGCTGTCTGTAGCTTTGTCATAGAGTGCTGAACTGATGATACTGTACATAAGCCAAAATATAAAAATTAGGTATTAGTGAGTCTTGATTTTCTGAGACTGAATAAGGAAAAAATGAATCTTAATTATAACACTGATTTATCAGTCTCAATGTTATATTTGAACTTCCTGTTATGTGCATTATTTCATATTATTATTTTAGTCCCATTTAAAATATTTATTAAATTTCAGTCCCATTTTCACAACTTATAATTAATATAGTCACATGATTATATAATTTTTTCACTTACTAATGTTGTTAGTAGGACATGTCTAAGCCAACACAGACCATCATCAGGAACATTCTTGTTACTGACCATGAGCTTGAACACCGTTACTATTTATATTTAATTATGATTTGGTAGGTGAAACAATGACACATTTAAGCGAAGAGTTAAAATCATTTTTATCACTTGGAGGTTGATGAAATTAGTATATGTCATTATTACTCCAGTCTCGGGTACACACGTGTTGCTGTTTTCTCATGCATTTATTAGGTGTAGCATAGTGGTTGAGGGGCTATGCTACAAGCTGGAAGGTTGTGGGTTCAAGTCCCGATGAGGTCACTGGATTTTTTCCTGTTGACCTAATCCTTCCAGCCGCACTAGGCCCTGGGGTTTACTCAGCCTCTAACAAAAATGAGTACCAGGAATTAATTAGTTTTCCTGGGGAGTAAAGCGCAGCCGGTGCGTAAGGCTGACAACCTTACCACCATCTTTGAGCCAATTGTCTAGATAATGTGGGACCCTCAACATCTCACAACTGTATGGGCCTTCACAGCCTGGTACAGGGATAGCTTTACTTTTTTTATTCATAGTTGATGAACGAAGACTGTAGTCTTCATCTGTAAACCACTCCTATAACAGTAAGTCGACCAATGCTCAATTAAATAATTTTTTATATATGTTCATTTCAATGGATAGTTAAAGCTAATATGTATTATACTATATCAGCCCTGTTTATGTGGTATTAATGACCACAGCAGAAGCAACTAAAGTGTTTAAGTAAAGACGGAAGCGTACTTGCACATCCCTGTAGCCACAGATTTGTTCGGTCAGTGACTTGCTGTATTCCAATAATGGCAGTCAAAAGGTAATATTCGATTCTTATGATGCAATGGGGGGGAAAAACACGCGCACAATGAGAATACACAAATTATGGTAAGCAACAAATGATAAACATAAGAAAAAGGTATGAGATAAACAAAGCATGCCAGGCCAAGTCATTGTTCCAGTTCTGTTTTGAGTCCACTCCCAATTAGCCTACTGCCTCAGTGTAACAAAAGCATAAGACAAGGATGCTTTAAAATTGAAGTTGAGAGCAAGAGAAAGATAGTAATGGGGAGCCGAACGGCCAACCATAAACCACTGTAAATATTTGTAGACTGGCAAATAAAAGAAACTAGTGCCAAATAATTTCTTATGAGTCAATTTTGCATGACAGTATTTCCATTGTCTTGTGCTATCTAGAGTTCTTCAAACTAGTGGTAAGCATAGGCAAAGTATATTTTAGATTCAGAAACACGAATTTTGATATTTACATTGTCAAGGAGGCTAAGGCTAAACTAAAAGGGCCGTAAAGCCAAAGGAAAAAGTGGAAGTGAGACAAAATCATAAATGTATGCCAGGGTGCTTTCACAGTAAGACACTAAAACTGAAATTGAGTGACAAAGGCCAGAACAAGAGTATATATATGTTGATAAACACACATAAATCACCAGTACAAGGCAACTTCTGTGATGAAAACATGAAACCTAAAAAATTTAACATTGCTGAAGACCGGACTTGACAAAGGGCACAGAACAGCTAACAATAGTTCAGTTAGCCATAGAACATGGAAGTTAAAAAAATGATTTTCTCTGCCTTTTGGGTTTAAATGTACTGGATATAAAAGGTAAAGCTGTCACTGTAGCAGGCTGTGAAGGCCCATAGAGTTGTGTGACATCGAGGCTTCCACATTTTCTAGACCAGTGTTTCTCAACTGATGGGCCATGGCCCGGTACCAGGCCCTTGTCTTACAGAAAAAGAATTTACTGGGCCACGATCTGACAAAAGCTGAGAACCACTGTTCTAAACAGTTGGCTCACAGATGGCAATAAGGATGTCAGCCTTATGTGCCAGCCTCCCTTTACCCCCCCCCCCCCACNGGTACTCATTTCTGTTAAGAGGCTGAATCGACCCCAGGGCCATAGTGTGGCTGGAAGGATTAGGTAAATTGAAAAAATTCAATGATCTCATCAGGAATTTAACCTGCAACCTTACAGCTTGTAGCACAGTTCCTCAACCAACCATGCTACCACATGCCCCACATGTACTGGATACCCATATCATTGTCATCCTGTGGTACAAAACAGACCACTGAAATTTTTATCAGACTTTGGTCCAAAGTTTGTTGGAAATGGATGCAAAAGAGTCATCCTTAGTCCACCTCAAGAGGAACCAAACCCATAAGCCAAATGAGCCACCTTGGAGCTCAACACTCTGATCACTGGCCACTTGCAGTTCATATTTTCATTCACCATATAAAGGTAAACCTCTAAATCACAGTTCCACCATACATCTCAAAAGAAAACATTACGAGATATGTAACTGCTGCACATTTCAGTTTACACACATGATGTAACATTTTCTTTTATTTCACAAATCTATAAACGTTTTTACTAATGAAAACCTAACTCTTTAGAATCTAGTAATGCATTTTCTTTCAAATACTTTTTATTTGAATATTTCAAACGACAATTTTTGGCACAAATAATAGTCAAGTTCTATTCTTGAGTTAAAATCTGACTGCCAGCTCTAAGGTTTAAATCCCCCGTTCCTATGCAACAAAATGTACCTTGGTTGCTTTTAATACATTGTGATTATAAGGACAGTTAGTTCACTGAAGTGAATAAAATTGGTCTTGCAAAGTTTACAACTGCAGCATATATTTACATAGCTGACAGAGTTTTACCTGATCTCCTCTAATCCAAAACTCATAATCTCCACACACCTCATGTCAGAAGCTTCAGGACTGGCACAATAAAAGTTTTGCCTTTTTCACACACAAACTATATGGAATTTCTAGTTCCCATGGTATATACTCATATTACAAGAGATGATCAAAGTCACTTTGTGACAGAGGAGTCTCATCTTCATACCACACCTCTGCCACCAGGGAAAAAGCCCCAGCACCCACTGTATAGGCAGGGTGAGCCCTACAGCCACTGTGGAGAAGACATAAACGCTTGCCTCCCCCTAAGGAATTAAAATTATATTCCATGGCCATACTGAGTGTAGCCTGTTGCCATACCAACTGAGCTCTTGAAGAGATGGAAATTTAGTGAAGCATGTGGTGTGAGCAGATGTACACAAAAGTATGAAGCTTGATGTGATTTTTTTTCTTCTTCTACACCAAGTGTTAGGCCCTAAGGCCTGCTGCAGGTCGTCAAGTTTGGTCTTGCCATCTTTTCTGTGACATCTACATCTTATTTCTTGAAGTTGGTGGTCCATGATTTGTCCGGGAATTCTGTTTTAAGTCATGCATTACACATGGATTTTCCAGTTCTTTCTGTATTTAACAGTGTCATTCATCTTTCCACATGTAGTTTCTTCCTAATACCATTTTTAACTTCATGCCATCTTGTTATTCCAGTCACTATTCTCAGGAGTCACATCTCAGCATCCTGCTATCTACTTCTGTTCCTGGATGTCATGACCTATGTTTAACAGCCGTATAAACCGCTCCTTACTGCCATAGCTTTATACAACTTCATCTGAGTATCCATCCTTTTTTTATTTTTCATGGTTATATCTTTCAATTCTGTGATTTATATCTACTTTTCCCACACATTAAATATAAGATCCCCCCAAAATTAAACTCATATACTTGTTCTATCACTTGATACTCTAGGGAAAGTTCTGATCTAACTGGCTGTTACCCCATGAATGCCATTATGCTCGTAGGTTATTTTGTACAACTTTGTAAAGGGCCCACTGCATGATATTTTCACCACCAACTATCAGCACCTGACTGTCAGAAAACAAACCCTTTATAAAATTTCTTCCCCAGGGAAGAGATAGGTGGATAGATATACATAATTTAAACTGGAAAGGGAACATGGATAAATGATTAGGAATATCAAAACATGTAACTCTGGGCAATGTGGTATCACCAATAAATATTATGAACATCAGAGATCCTGTAAATTTCCTTGCTTCACATTCAGTAATAGACTACATCTGAAGCAGAAGATAGGACCATTCATTCTCAAGTTCTCAACACAAATGGTCATTTATAAACACTTAAAGATTATCTACTAACCTTTCCTTTTGGAGCTGCAGATGTAGCTGGGTACATGAAAATTCCTCCATATTTGAGAGTTCTGTGGACATCAGCTACCATTGAGCCAACATATCGAGCACCATAAGGCTTTCCATTCTTCATGAAACAGTGAAGGAACACAAGTTCTGTTTTAACATAGTGTTGTGCACACAACTTAGCTTCATTTCTCTGTGCCATAAGTAGCTCAGACTATATAGTGTCAAATTGTAGTATTAGTGAAGTGGATTGGAAATGATGATGGAAGAAATGGTCTGAGGTGTTATTCCAGCATTTGCCTGAAGGATCTACAGAAACCCATGAAAAGCCTCTGTCAGTATAGTGGGTGTCTGTGCTGAAATTTGAACAAGGCATCACCTAAATAAAACTCAATGTGACTGAACTAAATACCAACTAGATTTTGTGACAGCTGTCATTTCATCCCTCAGTATTTTCAAGTAGATTCTACAGTTAAAAGCAAATAAAAGGACTAATTTGGATGTGGGTCCAGGAAAGGTGTGGAAGAGTTGCTTATGCAACTTCAAGTGGCAATCAGCATGTACATGGGTGTGCCCAGTGTCATAACTCTTGTCGACAAGAATTTCCATATGTCAGAATTCGTCTTAACCTTGGCATCAGAACTGTCTTTCACCTGACCAATTACATTCAGATCAATCCTATCTGAGTTACTGATTTCCTAGAAGTAGACTTGTAACCATTTAATTAGCCAATCAGAAACTCCAAATTCAATTCAGACTCTGGCAAAATTTACAAAGTAACCATGGCTTGGTGAAACAACACACTTGCTATCAAAAATTCAAACCATTAATATGCACTTCTGGAACTATTAAAAATCCTACATTAAATCTAATAAGTGTGATTTGGAAGTTGAATTTTATTTTATACACAAGTGTTTTCACACCATGACAGATTACATTCTAAATTAACTAAATAAACTTAAAGTGTATAACATGACAGTGTAATAATATATTAACAGCTTTCATTCATCTTAGGCTATTCTGAAACTTAACTTGTAATGTGCCTGAGTAAATTACTCTCATCAGATGCAAACCCTGATTATCTAATTGGCCTTTACTGATGCTTTCACTGTATATTTCCCTAGGATAATTTCACAGTTCCACTGAACATGAGCTAACCAAATTATTCTCTAAGAATAATCCACAGTGTGTCCATTACTTAACCTATTACATCCTTACGCTGAAGTGTTATCCAAGCTTTGATGTGGCATTAAGGGCAAGGAAAAATTTACATATTTCATTTAAGCATATTTTAGTTAGCCTAACAATAGCCACCAAAAGAGAATCTTTAACCATTCTGCCATTGAAACTATTATAATAAAACATATCTTACCTTTGGATCCTTCTTGCTGCTTACATATTCCTTAACTGCTTCATCCCACATATATGAATATCCTTCATTGATACTGAGGATATTACCACGATCAGGTACTCTTATGTCCGTGTCAGTGAGAACAAATTCTCCTATGGCCTTGTAAAAAGAAAAAAAATAATTTTTAAGAGTGCTATCATCTGGGATGTGATTCTGTGTGGTCTAGTAGAAGTTTAGTGATGTTTCAAAGGAACATGCTTCCACCTCCAAGGATGAAGAGTAAAGTGACCAAGCAACAAGCAAGCTGCAGCTCTTACAAGACTAGGCAATGTTACATCCCACAAGGTAGTACTCTTCCTGGTCACTATCATGAGAATATCAAATATAGCTTACTTTTGCTATAATATCTAGCTGAAAACAAATCCATGTTTATACATTACTGAAGACTCTCTTCCATTCCTAGTGCAAAGTCAACTTTACCCCATCCCCAATCTATATACAAACTGAGATCTTCACTGGATATACTGTGATAACATACAGGATCCAAGGTAAAGCCATTGACAGTTCCACCAGTGGAAAGGACCATCATGGTGGCAGATCCATAAAGAGCATAGCCTGCAGCCACCATCTTATGCCCAGGCTGCAGAGCATCCTCTAGTGTGGGTAATGGCTTTCCTTCTATTTTCCTGCATGAAAAGACAGATTTTTATTAGTTTCAGTTAAATTAGTAAAGATCTAATATAAGAAGACAGTTTTGTTGATCTCCATTCATAAGGAAACTATGTATATCAAGCAAGCTTTTCTTTAGGTTGTAACAGGATTAAAATTGTTCTATACTGACAGTTCTTAAACATTACCAGAGGGACAATAAAGTATATTTAATTTTTTTCTCAAACTATGAAAGATATACATGTTATTCTAAAAACTTCTGACAGTGTGTGAAACTTCAGGGCAAGAGAACATGTGGAAGACCAAAGGGTAGATGGGATTTAAGTTTAAGCAGACTGTTTTAACATGGACTTGACTGAGCTGGTTCAGGTTAGGCTAAAACAGTGGGTTTCTGTGGCTTTACTGATAAACTTCTGATTCCCATAATTCCAGGGGTTAAGTTTAAATCCTTACTTAAATATCCCAAATATGGACCCAATGGACACTAGACAGTCAATATTTGATGAGCCATCAAGAGGATCAAAGCACACAATGTACTTTCCTTGCTTTTCTCCTTCAATCTGAAACACAGAATAGATTCAGTGAAAAATATATATATATTTATTGGGATAACCCCACAAAGTATCTCACAACATTAAAACTCATTCATTGCATCTTCATGTACAATAGTTAGTAGTCCATTTGTATGGCAGACTTCGTTTATCTTTCTGCTTTTTATTTCTCAACTTATCTTAATATATCTCCATCCCATTTAATTATTCTTTGATATATGACAAACAGAGCAGTAAATAAAACGGTACAATAGACATTATGTAGATAGCATATATAGGTAAATTCTTTATACCACATTTTACAGTTTCATGTTTCATGTCTGACTCAGTATTACATTATAGACAATCTTAAAAATAAATGAACAAAGGAGCAGGGTAAAAATGAATAAATAAACTAAGAAATAGAGAGATAAATAAAAAAGGTAAGCTATCCCTGAAACAGGCCATGAAGACACATACAGTTGTGAGATTTCAAAGCCATCAAAGCTCTCACATTTTCTCTAGACAAACGGCTCCTGGTACTCATATCTGTTAGATGATGCACGACCATAGTGTGACTGGAAAGATTAGATAAATTGAAAAAAATCCACCTCATTGGGACTCAAACCCATGACCTTCTGGCTTTCAGCACAGTGCCTCAAGCAAACCAAGCTACTGCATGCCCCCCCCCCCTCAATAGAGAGCTAAATAGACAAATGAGATATGCAGATAGATAAATGAATAAAGAAACAGACATATGAATAAAGAATCTTATCAATAAACAAGAATATATATGTAGATACATGAATAAATAAACAGCTAGATAGACAAATAAATAAGTCCTGCTTGGTTATCATGTATTCTTATAAGAAGCAGATCTCTGTCCACTCAGTCAAGATTTAAAGAATAACCTGCCAACCCAATGTCAGGCTCACAAGGGACTCACTCAAGTTGTCACATCAAAGCTATGTCTGAAATTTTGCACCTACTGAATATTCATTCTGAGCAAAAGTTATGCTGCCAATATAAGTTGCAACTGTCTTAAAAAGAAAGTAGCTCATGTTTCACAGTCTCCATATGCCATAAGGCACTGTTTGGGGGAATTTAGCATATTTCAGAGGCAATGACCTGGTCTACTACATACAATTCTGACAAACATGGTAAAAGCAGCAATAAAAATAACTATTCACCGCACCCATCACCACCAGCATGAGTGGTGATGGTGGTGGTAGCAGTGTCGGCAGTAGAACTCTACTGCTGCTGCTGTTTCTGAGGCAATACAATATAAGCCATGCACAACATGACTTGGCTTGCATAGATGTGTTAAATCCTGTTACCAATCAGCTCCTATAAAATCAATGGTAAACCCAATAAAAGACCACATTCAATTCAGTCTTCACAGTGAAATGTAGTCAGCAGTTACATAAAATACAGTTGTTACTTGGGGTAAGTCGGTCTGTAGTAATATTAAATTGAACTTATGATTAATTATAAGGATATTACTTTCTTCAACATAAAATTACAAATAAGAGTAACAAATTTTAATTTATAATTTTACATTAAATTTAAACAATGGTGACTTATAAACAATTTTAATACAATGTATTCATTTATATTATGATGCAATTTATGATCTAGTAAATAACCACACTTGTTTTCCTAATTATAATCATTAAGAAATAATTTTGAAATTTATTTTCAGACTTCAATTTTAGATTTTTAAGTTCAGTCATGGTTTAAGCAAAAGAAAAGTCATAGAGAAACATTTTTCTAACAGAAATCACCACTATCTCTGGACATGTAGTTAACGAAAATTAATAATACAATCCTCAACTCAGTAAAACCACCCAACAAACTTCGAAAATCTTTCAAACTGCACCTGTAACAATAGTGTCAATGGAAATCACTTTACTGGAGCTTGTCTGACCAGAACATCTGAAACAGATTTCTCGGGTTTCAGCAATTTCAGTGAGACATCATTTTTAAATTGCAGTTATTTCTTCACTTTCAGTATTTACCACCTAATTTCATGGCCTTATTAGGTAATCACAGTATGCAACAAAATGTCACACAGTGCTATCATAAGTCTTTGCAACACCATTGCAATTTTGTTGGAATAGAATAAATAATTTATACTATTATAACAGCAAATTTACTTTCAGTTCTTAATTTCTGAGTTATGTCATTGACTTCATGTTATGGCTTTAAATTTTCTTCATTAATACTTGTAGCACGTAATCCCACTGAAATAAAGTACAGATTCATTGGTGTGTAGGGCTACTATTGTAGTCCCATTGTTTATATAGTTACCAGATGTTGTACTACGGACATTAACACGTGGAGGGCCACGCCATAGCTCAAGCGGTTAGTCGCTGGCTTCCCATCGCTGCGGCCCGGGTTTAATCCCGGGTCTGGTCAAATGGGATTTGTGGTGAACAAAATGGCACTGGGGCAGGTTTTCTCCGAGTACTTCACTTTCCCCTGCCAATCTTCATTCCACCAATTGCTCCACAATCACCCTCACCTATCATCTGGGGCTGGTACAATAGGCCAGAAGTGGCCGCAGTACAAGGGACTTTGTCCCACCCCACTAACAATAAAAAAAAACACCAAGCTGGTGACAGAAGCATTGTTTCCTGGCCAAACAAGAACTGGGAGGGTAGACCCATGTGTGTGTGATTGAGAGTGGGTACCTGAGAAAAAGCTTCATTAACATTTTATTGCTAGAACAAATGCTTCTTGAAATAAAGCCCTGAATAATAAAAGATCCTGCCTTAAGCTTGGACAATGCCAACTTTCATTCAGACATGGAGCAGATATCTGTCAGTCTTGGATGAAGCAGTATTCCACAGTGAAGAGCAATTTGTGTGTTGATTTCCTTGGGCATTTATAAAAGTCAGCAAACTGAGCATCCTTCTGAAACTTGTTTATATATTACTATAACTACTTACAGGCTATTTCTATCTCAATCTTCCACTATTTAGAGGTCATGCACATGCTGTCTTATGAAACCTTGTTTATGACATCTCTTGGACTTTGGAAATATACATGGTTGAATCCTGTTTACACTCTACTGCCTTAAATCTTGGTCAATATGTTTGTTTTAGAAATAAGAGTGGAAGAGTACCGAGTTACAGACCTGTACACTTAAATTGCAACAAAACTATCAAAATATTTCCGTCACAATAGCACATAGTTAACGATTATTATTGTTGTCTATATATATACAGTGCGTACAATCAAGTGCGCGCCGCGGCTGCANGAGTAGTTTCCCTGAGTTCTGAAAATGAAATTAAGTGAATAAGACATAGTGGGATGGCAGCTGTAAAAATATATAGATCTAAAATAAAATTCTTCTGTACAAAAAAATCATGATGATTCCTTGAAATAAGGATTATATTACCAAACTATTTTTGGACAAGGTATAATGTCTGTGTTGTCTTGTATACATGAAGCTGTATTTCTAACCATACCTCAATAACAGTTTCATTTTCTTCACTTATCAACATACAAGTTGTGAAAGAGGAGCTTAACATATTTATAAATAGCTCATTGGCTAACACATCCAACTTTTTCACTTCCTCTCCTTGAACATTCTGTTTACCAGCAATGCCATAGCTGAAAAATAAATCATCATATGAAATAAACATATTATGTAATTTGAGTTTCTGTAACTGTAAGGCATAATTTACACCTGCAAATGGTCAAATTTCAGTGAACTGACTGTATGTTGTATCCCTTATCTTTTTTACTCAAAAGATCAACTAACAATAAAATATTATGCATTTACCAAATACTATAGGAAAAATAAAAGTGCAATGGAATAGTGTAACAGCTATTTATATAAGTTTGGTCAGAAAATGAGAACTGCTTATAGAGAAATGAAGACCACTCAGAATTTCCACAGAATTTTCACTGTCTTCCTCTGAGAATGGCACTTTCTGTTATTCAGTCGTTGGAAGAATATTTACAAAGTAATATTTCTGACCTGGTCAAATATCTGATCACTTCAAATCTGAGTACAGCAGTACAAGAATTCACAAAATTATCTCCACTGTTATCACCCATTCCAACAACCAATGCATCTGTCGAGTGGTCATTTCTTTCATTGAAGAGGGTCCACACTTACTTATACAGCAAGCAGATTCAAAAGAGAACATTCTTCAAGACTTACAAAACAGGATGAACTTCTATGACAGATACTTTCACTCAAACAAGGAATTGTTGCATGGATCTCAAGTATAAGATGTAATAAAGGAAAGGTATCCTCAGTAGTCACTAACCACTTTTCTTAATTTACATTTCCTTCCCCTTTTACTCTTTAACTTACTTTCATGGCGTTGTCATGCCTCTGGATGTGGCTGACACTTTTGAAAAAGTCATTGGTTTTTATTATTCTGTCATATGTCGGAGTGACTACAGGCACGGGTTTGGACTGGCAAATCAATTTATTGGATATTCACAAGTCGTAACTACAATTAATTATAACACATAAATAACGCCTTCAAAGTCTACTTGAACTAGTCATTGCTAGGTAACAGATCTCCAACAATGACTATTCCTCTGCAAAGTTTTTCCCATCCATTTCCTGGCAACGGATTTTAACATGGGACTATAGCTGTCATACTCCAGATATCGCTGCACTACAGCTCACATAAAGTCTTCAAATCACAAATTAAGTCTTCACTGGTCTACTTCTAATTCTTCTTCAACTATGGACTTCCCGTGACTGACTTCAACTCTCCAGTTTAATTCTGTCAACTGCATTGTAGCGCCGAAAGTCTTCAAGTTAACTCCACAGCACGGACCATGCACAGAAAACACATGTCACATGTTTGCTATCTCATCAGACCATTGGTGTGCTAACTACTGCCTAGCAGTGGGCTATAACATTCATCCTATTGTTGCGTGTGCGTATTGCAGGATGTTTATCGAGCAGTTGCCTAGCAATTCTTTGAGCAAATCCATTACAATATTATTTTCAACTGTAAGTTCAAAGCAATTTCCAGCTTTGAAATAAATTGGGCAAAATGAGGCTAAGGTCATGAGTTCGTTTGATAAAGTTGTCACAGATGTCTGGGATTTATTTTTAACATTGCACATTGTACTCTTTCTCAATCTCACTATCACTATAGTTGACAGATCATTACCAATTCAAAAGCGCAGTATTATCATATAAGTTTGTCTGGCTTTCACCGTTTCTGACAGAAATTATCATATTTTTCACTTCCAATATCTTTTAATAATTGAAACTGAAGAAAAAAAAAGATGTTGATGCTACTTCACACCTCAGGATCCACTGAAGTTACAACTAGGTGGGAGGGGGGAACTTTTAAGAAAGTGAAAAAGCTTAGCATTTTCTGGCTGTAAATAATGCTCTTTGTTCTCTCTGCATTACCGTTGGAAATGTGCTACAAGAAGTGATAGTTTTACATATTATTATATTGACTTTAATGCACTGAAGTAAGACAAAACCTGAACATGATCGGAAAGAAGGAAAGAGATTGGCACATAGCAGGGTATAACAGATTTTCTTGGGATGTAGGAACCATCTGAAAACTTGGGAGCCAGACAAATTTTATGCATTCAGGAGACTCATATTACAATGACAGAACACATAATTTATACTTTCCATTATTGCAGCTATGAATTAGCCTTGTGTATGTGTAAGAAATTACAAGATATCCATGCATGTCTACAATGTTATACAAATAAAAAAAAGCAGGATCACAATATTTACAATAATGGTATCAAAATAACAACTGCTGTTCTTGTTGTTGTTATGGGGCACATGGTAGTGTAGTTGGTTGAGGCACTATGATACAAGCTGGAAGGTAAACAGGTTCGAGTCCCAATGAGGTGGATTTTTCAATGTACTTAAGTCTTCCAGCCGCACTATGGCCCTGGGGTTGACTCAGCCTTAACAGAAATGAGTACCAGGAATCTTCCTGGGGTGTAAAGGGTGCCAGCGTGCATGGCTAACAACTTTGCCACTACCTGTGAGCCAACTGTCTAGATGATGTGGGAGCCTCAATATCCTACAACCCTATGGCTTTTCACGACCTGTTACAGGAATAACAATTTGCTACAAGAAAGTTTGTTGTTGGAAGTAAACTTTAACTGGAAACATTTTAAGACCTTAACATTATTATAGCCAAACAACTGAAAATCAATAAATAAGATCTAATAGTTTGTGACAATGGTACATTGGTACAAATATTATGTTTCTGGACATTATCCATCACCCTGTTTTTATCTAAAACACAGGCCTATTTATATTTCAAAACATAACATTTTGGAGACAGGATTCTGTCTCCATCTTCAGGTAAAACCTACTCAGTTGGGCCCAATCAATAGATCTAGTTCCCATCTCCAGGCCATACAGGAAGGAGAAGGGGGAAGAAGATGTTTCATGAATACATGTAGGTGTAACAAATAAACAGTAAAATCCATTCAACAAAGGAAAAATATTTAAAGAAGGCTGGTGAATCATAATTTACATAAGTGATGAAGATAAAAAAAATCACTTTTTTTCATTTGTTATAATTATGTGTTTTCTTATGTTACTTATTAATAGACATGAAAATAAAACATGCAAAGAAATGCTTTTTATATTCAACCTCCTACCCTCCCAGAATTTTTCAGGTCAAAAGAACTGAAAAATTTTCAATTCCATACAAACGTTAACAGCATACAATGAGTTTATGAAGTCTCTTCCTCATAGTACTGGTAATGATTCTGTTCATACAATCTCATAGTTTCTTATGCATTGGCTTCATGACATTGTGAATTTGCATTTGTATTCACTCATCAATTTCAAATTGCCTTTGATGAAAGAGAAGCATGTACTGGTAGCAAGCTTTAAAGCACTGTCATCCCCATTCATTTTTCTTGAACACACTGATGAGGGGGAAAAAATTGATAATTCAGAACATAACTCAGCAGGCATAAATAATCTAACATGCAACACATAATGTAATTTTGTCCACTATTCACTGACACTTGTTGCATTGAATACCATGTGCTCTCACACATCTTATCCTCACCCAGAACACTTCAATGTCCAAATAAAACAGGAAGAATGCTTTCTAATCTTCCAACACTTAGATGTGCTTATATCTTTGTTCTAGGAATATGGTTTTTGTGGTTGTGCTATTGGAAATGACAGCTTTATGGAATGTTATGACTTAAATCGAATTTACTGTACCTTACTATTTGTTGTCATTTCTTACTCTGCTTCAATTAATTTGTCAAGCTGTCTATGCAATTATATGGGTCTATTTACAATACATGTTAATTTCTGGGCATTACCATCCCTTTTTATGGCCCATTTAAACTACTGTACATTTCGAGAGTGGTTGTTTCCACATCAGAGTGATGAATAAATAATAAAAAAACACTATTTCTGAAAATACGCAAAAACAAAATAATTGTGGGAACGATTACAATTAGTTTATATACTCACAGTTTCGCGATTCCTGCTTTTCTTACAGCAGAGCTGACGGCCTTTACGGCTGTTTGAATGCTGTTTAGAAGCTGTGTTAAATCTCCGGTAGCTGTTGGCACTCTCTTTTGTTCTGCTAAAACAAACCTTGTTAAAGTCATGCAGTTAGAATCGAATGCTGGACCAGTGGACGTCATCTTGCTTCACAATAGTAATTTACTGTCGTGACAGAATTCGAATAATGTGGGGTAATATCCACCGTGCTAATTACAAATAACTATGAAATTATCACTTGGCACTCCTTTAGAAGTCGGGAGAAGAGATAAATAAGGCAAACACACACTGATATATTAGGAGATCAAAGTTTAACAAATATCATCCCAAATAAAAACGATTATGTTCTTAAGATATTATCGTCAACTTTGTGGTATTGAGCCGAAACTTCTGATCGCAGCTGATGAAGAAAGACTGGATAACCCTAAATAATACCCTTTTACTGCTTTTACTCTTACCACACCGCACCACGTTTACCACAGTCAAAGTAAATTTATTTTCATTGGTCAATCACTTTCTCAGGACATTGTCTGGTACAGACGACTAAAAGATGAAACTCAGCAAGTTCGTAACACGAGTTCTCAAACGACCACTTGTAACGCATTAAAGTCCATATACGAGTACTCGATTTATCTACTCTACAAATCTGGACGCGTCTGACCCGTCTGACGCGTCTGACCTTGCGAGGGCAGCCATACAAATACGTCATGTGTAAATATGTTTGAATTTCCCTCCAGTTCATATATATATATATATATATATATATATATATATATATATATATTAACACTACATGGAGTTGTATCCTTGAAAAGCCACCAGTCGCTGAGCTACTCAAGAATTAACAAGATTTTATGGAACTCGAAGGCTCGTAACCCTTTTCATAAGAGCCAGCCACTGACCCCTATCCTGAGCCAGATGAATATTGTCCATACAACTCCATCCTATTTCTCTATGACTCATTTAATATTATCACTCCATCTACGTCTAGATCTTCCTAGTGGTTTCTTTGCTTCTGGCCTTCTTACCAAAATCGTATATACATTTCTCTTCTCACTCATGCGTGCAACATTCCCTAACTAATCTATTCTCCTTGACTTGATCATTTTAATTATATTTGAAGAAGAGTACTAGTTACGAGGTTCCACATTATGTATGAGTTTTCTCTACCCTTCCATTATTTCATCCCTCTTCGGTTCAAATATTTTCCTGAGCACTCTGTTCTCAAATACCCGCAATCTATGTTCTTCCCGTAAAGTCAGACGCCAAGTTCTATGCCTATAGAAAATCACAGACAATTATAATTTTGTATATTTTAATTTTTACGTTTTTAGACAGACGAGAAGACAAAAGGTTCTCAACCTAATGAAAACCATATAAAATTATTCTCTTCTGAGTCATAGTTTGTTTGAAATAATATGACTTTCATTAACACTTGGCTAGCAGCCCACGCAGAGTTATGAGGTTTCAAAATTGAGCCTCTTGCAAGGAAGGTTGTTCAGCATTGTGCTAAAGGAATTCCTGGGCAAAGAATATTATTTGCACTTTAATAAATAACGTGATTTCTTAATCAATCTCAGCAGTACTGTTTTTCATTATTTAACGACGACTGTCACTGAATATTACAGTAATGCGTTTGCCAAAGCTATTACATTTCCTTACCTTCGTGTAAATACAAGCTTCTTTGTACAATAATCGTATAATTTGTCCACATTGCGCCAACCACCAATGTATTACGATACTCACCTGTCAATAATGAAGAAAATTGCACAGCATTGTTGCATACCGTAGGCCACGGATCACTTAGAGGCGGGTCGACTGAACCGACTGAACATTGTACTGTGGACCAGGAAAGGCATGTCACGTTCACAGAAGCCTCTGTAAGTTATGAGCTTGGTGATCTGAGTGACAAAGATTTGTGCATGGCGTGTTACTAAATAAACAAAATTCCAAAACGTATTAGAAAAAAAAAAAAAGGAAAAGAAGTATAGGTACAAAATATTAATAGTGTAGAGCGGTGTAGAGCTCCGGACAGTGCAGCGTTCTACTCCGCGGTGGCGATCAGATCAGATGCAGCTTGTCGAGTCTGACCGCTGCTCGCGTCACTGTTTGTTAGCATGAACAATGGGTACAACAACAGAGTAACTTATTGAAGAAGTAAAATTACATAATATATTATTTGATTTGTCGCATCCTGATTACAAAAATATATATAAAAAAAAGATGAAGTCTAGGAACAAATGGGCAGATCCACGTTTTCTTACGCTTCCTTCTGAAAAATATATTAATTAATATGCAATTAATTGTGATGTTAATATTTGTAATAACTTCTCAAATTTCTCCAATTGTACACAATAATAGGAATAATTACCTTGCTTGCTGCTGCTCATCATCAGCTACCGCTGCCAAAAGTAGCGCTTCTTCCAGACGAGATAATCGATGGATCTTTTATGATGTTGTGCTTACGCGATTTTTCAAACTAATCGCTACCCCTTTATCGACNTAAAAGCTGAATGTGGGTGGAGCTAACAACGGAGCTCCATCAAGTGCAGAAATTGAGAATTGGGGAATCGTATCTCTTCTCCCTTTACGTCTTTAAGGCATGGTGCCTGATTTCTTACGCCCATTGATAACTTTAACCTTCCGGAATTTCCCCCCATGATTCACACATATAAGTAAACAAAGGTTCGTGTTTGGGAATATGAACGGGTAATTGTCCATTCATCTGACCGCAACAACGGGGGAACAACGGCTACTGCCTTAGCTCAGTCGGTTAAAAGGCTAACTACTGCTTCACATACGTAATCCAACACAGCTGCGAATAATTTCACGACATTGACCTTGTGTATTTTCGCGCCAGGCAATGGAATACTTAACACGGCTTAAGTCTGACAAGCCTGACAAGTGCACTAGAGAAGGATGGAGGGTGTACAGAACGACGAAAGTTGAATGAAAATGAAACTTAATTAGTTTGCAGGTACATTGAGCTAGCGAGTCCTGTCAAATGGAATTGGAGAAAATCACGAGAGATGAAAGAATTGCGCGCGAAAACCTGAAGGAAAAATGGCGAGAAAAAAAGTGAAAATAATCAGTGAAAGCGAAGAAAATAGTGGACCATAGTGGACTGACTGAAACGCATGGTTAATAACGGTTAGACTTGTTACATTTATACATTGACTGCAGCATTATTCTTCGTCTACCTGGAAAACACATTATAGCAAAACACCACGAGGACTAAAGGAACACTGCAGAGAATAGTTACTGGATGACAAACTATCAACAGGTAGGTAGTGTAGTGTATCTGTATATTCCGGTTTAAAGTAAGAGTATGCTGTTTTGAAACACGCTTCACGTTTTAAATGTGAAACGAAATAGTTTACTAAATATTTGAAGTAATGTATATACAACATTGCATGAAATTCTGCGAAGTTCCAAGTTAAATTAAATGGAAAATGTGAACGAAAGGTATAAATTGCCAGGTAGTCATCAAATTCCGGCAGAACTGATTCAAGCAGGAGGTGAAATATTACGTTCTAAGATCCATAAGCTAATTAATTCAATTTGGAATAAGGAAGACTTGCCTGATTGATGGAAGGAGTCTGTTATACCAGTTCACCAGAAGGGTGATAGAAGTGAGTGTAGTAATTATTGTGGGATATCATTCCTGTCAACTTCATACAGAATTTTATCCAGTATTCTACTCTCAATGTTAAGTCCACATACAAATGAAATTGTTGGAGATCATCAGTGTGGGTTTCAACATAAGAGATCAACTACTGATCAATTCTTTTGCATTTGACAGATTTTTTTTTCGCTGGCTCCACAGCCCCCTTCGGCCCTGGCCTCTTATTTTCATTTTCATGGTCATTTTACAGACGGTAGGACTCCTTCGACGAGGGATCAGCTCGTTGCAAGGCCTCTACTTAAGCACAGGACAACACAAACACAATAAAAAACATACACATACAAAACGTCAATGCTTCATGGGGATATGAACACATCATCCAGGCTTCCAAGCGAGCGAAGGCAGTACATGCCTTAGACCACCCGGCTACCTTGACCCCTTCTGGATACATATTTTCTGGATGCAGTTCAATCTCAACGGCCATTCAACTGCATCCAGAATATATGAACAGGGAAGGGGGGGGGGGTTGACTCAGCAAGTCATGGAAGCCTCTCATCTGTTCTCTTAAAAACCCCCACCGGGATATGACGCCAGATCCAGAAGGCCACACAGGCCATGACCGACTAACATAACAACCCCCCCCCTCAGCTTACGGGTTAGTGCCCAGCCTTTAACCTTGCCTTTCTCTCCCCTACACAAAAACCATGCTTGTCCCAGCTCCCTTCCCCTACCCCTCCCACACTACTGCTTTCACTTGTATACTTGCCCTTCCCCCCCTTCCATCTCTGCTCTCACATAGCTGCTGTGTATACTTCGAACACCAGTCTGCTTTTACCGGTTCTCACGGTCTCTTCGCTTGCGGATTTCTTATATTTTTTCCTTCTACCCTGGAAGATGGAGGTGATACGTTCCTCCGAAACGTCGGTTAACACCACATATACACGGTGCCAGATTCCATAAGACTGCTTTCTTCACAGTCACCGCCGTGAAAGCCTCAAATCTTTTCTGTTCTTGCTTCTTGCCGTGTACATCCTCGTGCTTTTAAATAATTACCAAATTGAATCAATTTTCATAATGAGTAGTGACAGTGAAAGTGAAAGCAACAATGCAAAAACTCCACCTAAGAAGAAAACTAAATACTTGTGTGTTTACTTGAGAAAATGGGAAGAACAATATTTATGGTTAAAGTCCGTGCCCTTCAACGTTTACAGGGTTTACAGTGTATACTTTGTAAACGTGAGTTCAGCATCGCTCACGGCTCACGGGGGTAATACCGACATACCGACTGCAGACAACATTCTTGCACAGAAGGGCATAAACGAAAGGAAAGGGACGTGAAGACTTCTTCAAATATACATCTCTTTTTCGGGAACAGCAGCAAAGACTTAAAAAACGTTGCAGGTGAGCTAGCATTTGTTTTCCATACTGTAAAACACAACATCTGATATGGAAGTATGGATTGCGCAAATAAGTTATCGAAGGATATTTTCCATGACTCTAACTTGGCTAAGAAGATGTCCTGTGGCCGAAAAAAGGCAGAGGCTATTGTGAAAAATGTTCTAGCGCCAAGAAGTGTGCAAGACTTCATC